TAAAAACACTGAATTGCTGCATTGGTTATGATGATAAACAAGAAGAGAGTTCAGTATCCAAACTCCTTTAAAGCCTTTGTCATTTTTTTTTATTTCTTACAGCAACACATGGAGATATGTAAACAGAGATCATTCACCTTAAATCGTAGAAGGCTACTAAGGAAGCATACTATAATTGCTATATAGGTTATCTGGAATTCCAAAATACTCCAAAACCCCTAATTGTCCACATGGGTGGCTGAGATAGTGACATCTTTGTTTTCTGATGGGTCAGTGTACACAAACATTACTTCATACGAAACATTATTCAACAATATTGTACAGAATGATTTTCAGGCTATGACTATAATGTATCTGTGAACTATATTGAATGCCATGTTTAGATTTGGGCCCTATCATCAAAGTATGTCATTATGTGTATACTGTCATCCGAAACACTTCTAGTCTCCAACATTTTGGATAATTTATCAGAAACTAGAGCTGATATGGTCTATCCAATGCAATTTTTTGAATCAGCACCCCCAAATAACCAAACCGAATCTAAAGTTGACCAAAAACAGATACATAACCCTTTTGGTATTAATGTTGGAGAGTGGTCCCTGGTCAAAAAAGGGTTGGGAACCACTGCCTTAGGCACAACTTGAATGCCCACAGTAACAATATGCCATTGAGACATTCTTTATTTCATCTCTCTGCAGATGGTTTACTGAGTCTGTCACTTGATCATTAATTGTCTTTCTTGTTGGTTGTTTTGAGGTCATTTACAGTTGCTCTGGGATTTCGATGAAGAATGTAATAAATTTAATTTGGAAATTTAATTAAATGATACATCTGGACTGGACGGGGTTCTCTGTCAACATAACAAGAGCAACATCATAAGACTTGTCCTTCTGTAGATTTTTCTTGCTCAACGGCACATATTTTGTTTAAACTTTATCATTATACAACATTCCCATGCTGTGTTTGGCCATGGGAATATATCAATGGGTATTGCACTGAGGAAGTACCACTTAGATTCATTCCCACTAATAGTTGTGATTTGAGATCGACACTCTTAATGGGTCTCAACTTGAAGAAGGCAAGTAGCAATGAGACAGTCTTTTGTATTGCTCCTTTTAAAATAAAGTTATTATAATAAAGCAAAGTGCAAACCCAGAAAATATACAGTATTATTATGGCAGTTTTCTGTCAGAAAAAAAGTTGAACTCTTAGTTAGCTTTTAGCAGAGCAAGGGTGACAGTAAGTAAATTCAAACCTTTTAAATATGCAGCCATAAGAATTTTGTCAAGGAAACTGAGTGAAAACTTTCCATGATAGAAGGCTGCCTTTATAGTTCCTTTGCAAATGTGTATTCCCAGTTTTCATATCTTTTACATGAAAATAATGTTAATTCTACCTTAGTGTAGCATTCAGTCATCATCTTAGCAGCAAAACAATTAATGTTTTAACTAACAAACCACTCTCACGTCTGTACATTGCTTAACAATTCCTTTCTTTGCGCAAGCATTTATTTACGTATACTATAAATACTTTACGTACACTATACGTTTTCTGTACTTCATCCAATTCCCTGGCCCTGTGGGATACTGCTTTGCATTATCCCATGCCCAGCCCTTTTTAAAGCCTGGTCACGCCCATTTTAGTATTTCTGATTATTGGTTTTTGCCGAGCATTGCTTTGATGGAGTTACTGCTGTTTTATATTCCTATGTTTTATTTAATTGTATTTTTATCTGGATTGTTATATTTTACTATGTTTTTATTTTATTGAGTTTTTGTTAATAATTATTGGGTTGTTGTAGGTTTTTTCGGGCTATATGGCCATGTTCTAGAGGCATTCTCTCCTGACGTTTCGCCTGCATCTATGGCAAGCATCCTCAGAGGTAGTGAGGTCTGTTGGAACTAGGAAAAGGGGTTTATATATTTGTGGAATGACCAGGGTGGGACAAAGAACTCTTGTCTGCTTGAGCTAGGTGTGAATGTTTCAACTGACCACCTTGATTAGCATATAATGGCCTGACAGTGCCTGGTGCAAACTTTTGTTGAGAGGTGATTAGATGTCCCTGTTTGCTTCCTCTCTGTTGTGCTGTTGTAATTTTAGAGGGTTTTTTTTTAACAAAATCTGGCTACCAGTATTAAAAAACTGGAAGGTTGTTGCTGTTATTGTTCTTATATTTATTTATTTATACCCCCCCCCCCCCCCCCAAAAGATTGGGTCTCAAGATTGGGTCTTGGCATGAATTATGTTACTGCAATACTTGCATGGTTCCTTGACAACTTTAGGTATTGATGTCATAGTTGTAGTAAAGATTTCCTGGGTGCTCTCCATTGAAATAAATGAGATCTCTACAAGAACAGGATGACTTTTTCCCCCGTGTCAGGAGCGACTTGAGAAACTGCTTCTGGTGTGACAGAATTGGTGGTTTGCAAGGACGTTGCCCAGGGGATGGATGGATGTTTTACTATCCTGTGGGAGGTTTTTCTTGTTTCCCTGCATGAGGAGCTGGAGACGGGAGCTCACCCTGCTCCCTGGATTTGAACCGCCGACCTTTTGGTCAATAGTCTTGCCAGCACAAGAGTTTAGCCCATTGTGCCGCAGGGGTGTTTTTCTACAATTCCCATTTAATGGAGCTGGTGGGGGAAGATGTTGCCAATGATTTGCACCTAAAGGTAAAAAGGAATCAATGTGAATGACTTTACCTTAGTTATTCACAGTAAACATGAATTTCTTATTGTCCTGAAAATGGACCTTAAGGAGACAAAATGTTTCAAGCCTTCCATGTGGGGGCTAAAGAGCATCAGCTTAGTAGATCCCACATTTATGCCTCCTGCTTTCCCTGAGAACTGGCTTTCAAAAAAAAAAAGAAAGAAAGAAAGAAAGAAAGAAAGAAAGAAAGAAAGAAAGAAAGAAAGAAAAGAAAATAAGGAAAGCATTGGGGCATTTTGATCCTCAGTGTAATATCCTGTTCAAATCATTTGCCAATACAAATAAGGAAGAACATGAATTGTTAAAATAAAATAATAGCACAAGACTTGATTCTCGGCCAGAAGTGTTCGTTACAGTTGGATTTATTGCCCCATTTTATCAGGTTTTTTTCTCTTCTGGATTTTAATTTGGATATAGTTTTATTTCAATAGCCTTTGGAAAAAGTCTCTTTGCAAGCCCTGTTATTCTGAGCTGTGCTTCTGCATTACTCCTGATGAGTTTCCCTTAAGGCTGACATTTCCAGGGCAGCCTTTTGATGTTGGGGATTACTGCTGATGGCGTTACTTTCAAAGCTCATGGGAAAACATTGAGCGAGGTTAAAGTAAGTCCATAGGCCAAAATAGCAGAGCGTTATAAATTGTAATTATTTTTGAAGATGATTTATTAGAAGAGTATAATGAAGCAGATCTATTTTTATATAAAGGCTTTAAAAACACCCCAAATACAATATGCACATCTAAGCTGAGTAATATCTCAGCATCTGAACCTGAGATATCCATTTAGATTCCATAATGAATAGTAATGGATATAACTCTCGATGATAGTAATGTGTATGGTCTGCCTTTATAGAGGATCTGGAAACAATAGCTAGTCCAGAAATTTACCAAATTGGTTTTGGTGTTTCTATCAGATTGCACCAAAACAGTTATGGGTGTAATGTAAAAACACTAATTTAAACTTATTTATTTATTATTTATTTGCCACGTTTGTACCCTGCCCTTCTCAACCCCGAGGGGGACTCAGAGCAGCTTTACACATCGGTAACAATTCAATGCCATAAAAACAACATACAATTAAATAAAAAATTATGTTAAAAACCAAAGAACTCAAACATATAAACAATTACATCAATTATTAAAATCACACTTTCCAAGATCGTAATCCAGAGCCATTCCAGTTGTCATTGCACAGATTCTAGATTCTAGATTCATTTATTGCACTGCAGTTGCACTCAGAAAACTTGGTCCCGTAGCCATGTTTTCACCTGCTTTCTAAAGGCTAGGAGGGAAGGAGCTCATTGAGTATCACTGGGGAGGGAGTTTAGCCATTAGAAGGCCGTCTCTCGTTCCCACCAATCGCGCTTGTGAAGGAGGTGGGACCAAGAGCAAGGCCTCCACCAATGATCTTAACCTCTGAGGTGGATCATAGAGGGAGATACGTTTGGACAGTTAAGCTGGGCCAGAATCATTTAGGGCTTTATAGACTAAAGCCAGCACTTTGAATTGTGCTTGGAAGGAAATTGGCAGCCAGTGGAGCTGTTGTAACAGGGGCTTTGTGTGCTCCCTGTACGCCGCTCTGGTGAGCAATCTGGATGCCACCCGTAGGATCACTTGAAGCTTCTGAACAGTCTTCAAAGATAACTCCACATAGAGCATGTTGCAGTAGTCTATTCGAGATGTAACAAGAGCATGGACCACCATGGCCAAGTCTGACTGCCCAAGTTATGGGTGCGACTGGTGCACAAGCTTTCATTGTGCAAAAGTTCCCCTGGCCACCGCTTAAACCTGGGGTTACAGGCTCAGTGATGAATCTAGGAGAACTCCCAAGATGCGAACCTGTGTCTTCAAAGGGAGTGTAACCCCCATCCAACACAGACTGTAACCCTATACCCTGTACGTCCTTGCGATTGACCAGGAGTACCTCTGCCTTGTCTGGATTCAATTTCAATTTATTTGCCCCCATCTAGACCATAATAGCAGCCAGCACCGGTTCAGGACATGAACAGCCTCCTTAGTAGCAGGTGGAAAGGAGTGATAGAGTTGGTTATAATCTGTGTACATCAAACTCCAAAACTCCAGATGATCTCCCCCAGTGGCTTCATGTAGATGTTAAACAACCTTTTAAATTCTTCAGATTTCATTGGACTCCAACTTCTGTAAGACCGAGCTTGCATAGCTAATGGACATGGATGATATGGACTGTAGGCCAACAATACTGTGCTTTGCAACAAAGTCATGAAGAATTCTAAAAAGATGAATAGCCTGTTAATTTGTCCCATGACTTCTGTCTTCCAGGTCTCTCAAGCAGCTGCAGAGCTTCAACAATACTGTATGCAGAATGCTTGCAAAGATGCCTTGCTCGTGGGAGTTCCTGCAGGAAGCAACCCATATCGAGAGCCCAGGTCCTGTGCATTGCTTTGAAGGCAGGTGAGAAGAGTCTTGTGGAACCTTTTGACTTTCGATGTCTTTAGGCCAGTATCCAAAGAATATAAATCTACCTATGCATCTGTTGGCGTTTCCATTTCTCCAATCCCAGACATCCCTTCCCTTCAGTTTGCTACAGAAGGCCTCTGAACTTTAGGAGAGCAAATTAAGCAATTTATCACAAAGCACAAAGTCTGCTGAGCAAAGACTGAAAGTGAAGTATTCCTTTGGGGACATTCATTGACATAAAGTTCAACTGTAGAGTCTCCATTAGAGGCCTGAGCCACGTTTATACCAGGCAATTTGGCCCAATGTCAACATTTATTTATTTATTTATTTATTTATTTATGGCATTTGTAGCCTGCCTTTCTCAGCCATACAGCGATTCAAGGCGGGTTACAGATCGACACAATTTGATGCCAGGCATTCATAAAAGTGCCATTAGAAACTATCAGCATTACAATATAAAACATATAAAAACCATTAAAACATATAATCATTGGTGCCATTCTGTTAAAAAGGTTATCCAGTAACATTGTCTGGCCATTCCGTGTTCATCATTCATAGTTCCGTGTTATCTATTCTGCTGCATTCTCAAAAGCTTGCTCAAAGAGCCAGGTCCTTACTTTTTTCGGACAGTCAGGAAGGAGGGGGCCGATCTAATATCCCTGGGGAGGGAGTTCCGTAGCTGTGGGGCCACCATTGAGAAGGCCCTGTCCTTCATCTCTGCCAATCGCACTTGCAAGGTAGGCAGGATCAAGAAGGGGCCTCCCCAGACGATCTTAAGCTCGTAGATGGTTCATAGGAGGAGATACGTTGGGATAGGTAAGCTGGGCAGGAATCATTTAGGGCTTTATAGATTAAAGCCAGAACTTTGAATTGTGCTTGGAAAATTGACATGCTATGGAGCAGCCCAGATTCATCACTCACAGCCAAATCTAGGGCCATTGGTAGACCCTCACCTTCTTTGTGTTAATTCCATTGCTTCTAGGCAGCCAAAGATTAATCTGAGCTCCTGGCTACCACAGGCACCACTGCTGATGTCAAAACAGGAGGGGAGGCAATCTCCATTCCTAGTTGCTGATTCATGGACGTCTTCTTCTGGCATCAGTACAGGTACCCACAATAGCCAGGAGGTCAGAATGAGCTCTGTAGCCAGCTAGGAACATCAGTGAAATGGCACAGTCTCATTGCCTTTCCCAGCACTGATCACCACAGGGAATTGTGATGATGATAGTGTCTGTCTGAGCAGCAGATCAGGCCAAATCAGACCCGGTATAGCTGCCCAAACTGCCCCAAATCTGTGGTAAACTCCAGTGTTTCATGCAAACTCCAGAGTATTCTCCAACTACCAAAAGTAAAACAAAATCTATTGAAAGCTAAAAACCTCATGATATTCATCAGAAGCTGCTGTGTATCATGGGAACAGCAAGAGGTCTATTTTCAGTGAGTATAGGGTTTGGAAAAAGAGTAAATAAGTCCTTAGTCTCCATGCCAGTACAGATCAAATTTAGAGGAAGGGAGAATGCATGATGGCTCAGAAAAATAGCCTATGGGTGTCCTGAATTCCATGTTTTTCCTTCAAGAATTCCATGTTATTCCTTCAAGACAGTCAGCAGTTATCTGTGATTTGTTAGTGGATTATTCCAAGAATATAACATTAAAGCTTACCACACTTGCATTCACAGCCTAAAAAAATCTGAGCTAAGTTAGTAAAGTCCACAGCAGAGGCTAGAAATGGAAATGGAGATAGTTTGGGATGATACAAATCAGATATTTGCTATTGTTAAGTCACTGTTACTATAATTTTAAAGAGCCAGTATATGGAATAAGTTTTAATGTTTATATTGGAAAGTGCTTATTTCCCTTTTAAAGGTTCTATATTATTTGGCATCATGGCCTATGGCTGGTACAATAAACCATTCATTCATTGACTCCTTCAAGATCAGAAGAGCATGGGATAGGGCCGGCAGATTAGTTCCCCTTCCCTGAATTTTCTGCAAACTTCTTTTTCCCTATCCACCAAATAATTTTGTCAAAAGGCATTCTTTTGGTTTCAGTTCTTCCCTCTCCATCTGCAGACCTCTTCCCTGAAAATTGTCCTTCATTTTGTAATTAGGATTGGAACAAATAAACGTTTCACTACTTTATGATCTGTGATGACTTGGGAAGGCAAAGAGCTATTTTTAATAAATTTTTGTCTCACACTATAGGAAAGGTCATCCGAAATTTATCTTCACGTACGATTGGAGATCTGGCATCCTTTCTTTTTTCAACGGACCCTTTCTCTACGCCCTCCTCTGTGTGGCCAAAACTGTATCCTTAGGTATTTGTTAGTCTGCTTGATCATTGTAGTAACTGATTAGATCTTTTGATAATACTTGTACAAAACCTTTTATAAGGAAAACAAAAGTTTCCATTTGTAATTGAGTCAGCCATCTTTCTACAACTACTACTCTTGACTTGTTTTTGTTCTAGTTAAGAAAACTACCAAACGTCTTGTTCCATAGTTATTTGTTGTGCCTGAATGAGACACTCACAAGGTACCTTCTCACAGCAATATGTTTTCTGAACAGAGAGATGCTCCCTGCAAAATTTAAACCCTTTTCAGGCTGCAACCAGCAGGACTGTCTATTGAGTAAATAAGCATGAGGCTGGGTGCATGCCCCATTAATTTCAGTGGAAGAGCACATACTTAACTCTCCTTTCAAAAGTGGAGGCCTCCATTTAACATCCTAAACGTCAGTCAAGGCATCTAATTTTAGCATGAGGACCAAGTTAGTTTTACGGCACATATAGAAAGCTTTGTGTGGCCCACACTGGATGCTAACTCCTCCCAAATTTGTCTCCCTTCCGAAGGGTTTGGAACAGCTGAGAAATGCCTTGTTTAGCATATGCCCAAGCTGTTTCCTGTGAGGTATACAATGGGATCTTGCTCAAAGGAAAGAGTGTTCAGCCCTCCTCACCCCCCAAATACTGAGATGGAGCAAGTGAAGGAATGTGGGGTATGGTGCGTGCTTGTTTAATAGGAAAAATCACTGCTTCTGCATGTGAAAGTGGAAGAAGTGTGTATATGTGTGTTTGTCTGCGAGTGAAATGGGAAGGGGATACCAGTCCTAGAGCCCTTCCATGCAGCCCTATATCCCAGAATATCAATCAGAAAATCCCACATTATCAGAGTGTGGACTCAAATAACCCAGTTCAAAGCAGATATTGTGGGATTTTTCTGCCTTGATATTCTGGGATAGAGGGCTGTGTGGAAGGGCCCTTAGTTATACCCTCTACCAGCCCAAGAACCACCCACTACTGTCTCCGGCTATGCCTAGCATTCATTGCCCATACCTAAGAACAGAGGACACATGCAAGACAATTTTTTATTTATAAAACATTGTTGCAACACTAAAATCAGAGCGAGCTAATTATCTACAGAGGTAGCGGGACTCTTGCTCACCATAAAAAGCTTTTGCCTTTATTTTGTATTGTTTTTTTAAAATGGAATTTTCTAACTTATGACATATCAGTCACAAAGTAAGACACTACATTACAAATGCAATTCAATTCCATAGGCCAAACTTTGTCAAGGTTTGCAACAGTAATGGACTCCCTAAAAATTTGTTTTCGTAGTGGGGTGCCTTTGATTTTTTGTTTGTTTATTGAGCACTTTTACACATACTGTTTACTTTTTAAACAATTGTTCTGTTTACACACCATTGTATGTATTAATATATTAGAAGCTTTTCAAAAAATAAAAAACCTTTCCCTAATTCAATTTGACCACTGTTGTTTGTGATATGAAAAAAGAAGCACTTCTGATAATGAACCTGAAAGTATCTCTCAATTCCATCCATGTCTTGCGATGGTATTGGACAGGATCCCAATAAGTGATTAGATACACAAGATTAGAACACAGCAAACAAGATCACTGTGCTGGCTTTTGTATTAGATCACATGTCGGACACTTCCCAAGTGTCTATGACTATGTGAAATATTAGTGAATAATGCACACAGATCCGAGCAGGGTGGCCTTTCGCAGTTGACAGATGGTAATTTTGTGAGCACCGATTGTTTTTAAGCGCTGGCCAAGATCTTTAGGCATTGCACCCAGTGTGCCAATCACCATCTTTAGTGGCCTGTGCCAGAGTCTTTGCAGTTCGATCTTTAAATCCTTGTATCATGTCAGCTTTTCCAGTTGCTTTTCTTCAATTCTGCTGTCGCAACATTGATGATCCAACTTTGTTTTTTTCCACGATCATGAGGTCAGGAGTATTGTGCTCAAAAACTCTGCCAGTCTGAATTCAGAAGTCCCAGAGTAGTTAACGTGTTCGTTTTCTGTAACCTTTTCAGGCATGCGATCCCATCAGTGCATTATATTTATTTATTTATACCCGCTTTTTCTCCCCAAAGTGGCTCATTAATCCCTTGAGGGAGGGGGGAAACATTTTTCAGAAAAATTGAAAAATGCAATACAGACTTCCCTCACTTATCGCAGGTGTTCCGTTCCAGGACCACCCGCGATAAGTGAAAATCCGCGAAGTAGGGACACTCCGCCCACCTGAGTGATCCTACTTTGTGGTGGCCTCCTCCTCACCACTTCTGCTGCTCCCCATCTCGGAATGTCCCAAGCCTGGCGAGGAAGGAGCGTGGAGCAGCGGAGGGACGAAGAAGAGGACGCTGCTGCCAAGACCCTCTTTGAAGGCCTCCTCTTCATCATGACCTGTGCTGCTCCCCACCTTGGAGGTTCTTTCCTCATCGAGAAAGGAACGGGGAGCAGCTATACAGTGTTCCCTCGCTGCTCCCCGCAAAACAGCGAGTCCGCAATAAGCGAACCGCGAAGTAGCGAGGAAGCACTGTATTTCATAGAATCAAAGAGTTGGAAGAGACCTCATGGGCCATCCAGTCCAACCCCCCTGCCAAGAAGCAGGAATACTGCATTCAAATCACCCCTGACAGATGGCCATTTATCGACTTTTCTATAGAGGGATCAATTTTATAGAAAATTTTAAGTCCTGAGGAAACATCTCTTTTCTGTCTTTTGAATAAGATTTTTTTAAAAAAATGGAAAATGCAGTATTAGTACTTTTTTAACAACTCAACAGTCACTTTGGTAATTTATCACAGGCTTTCTGTTTTTCTTATTTTCAGAGTTTGGCTTTAATGTACTTTACAGGATTGGGCTACAATTCTCATACATGTTGTGTTCCTTCAAGCCATTTCCAGCTTATGGTGACCCAAAACTATCATGAAGGTTACATGGCAAAATTTGTTCAGAGGGGAATTTGATCTCTGAGGCTGAGAGAGTGAGAGACTTCCCCAAAGTCACCCAGTGGGTTTTAGTGGCTGAGCAGAGATTTGAACCCTAGTCTCCAGAGTTGTAGTCTGACACCATGCTGGCTCTACAGTGGTGCATAGTGGGAAAGAAGGAAAAAGAGTTATTGGTTTATATATATCACCAAAAAGAAAGCAGTGACATCTTGATACCCTGACCTAATTATGATTATATACTGTGTTGCAGATTTATATCTCTTGCTTTGAAACAGCATTCTTGAGACCAGCAGCTGAGAACATTTTCCATATGAATGCTGCCAAAGCTGTGGAAATAGAAAACTGAGGTTGGAAACCACAAACATGGGCCAAAAATAGCAAATGTTTTATACATTCTTTTGGAACCCGCACTATTTTGTGTTTGTGTTGTAGTTAGATATCATAATTAAGTATAAAACCAACCTTAAAAACTCTGGCATAGACACTGAGAACTGGGAAGCCCTGGCCCTTGAGCGCTCCAGCTGGAGGACAGCTGTGACCAGCAGTGCTGCAGAATTTGAGGAGGCACGAGTGGAGGGTGAAAGAGAGAAACGTGCCAGGAGGAAGGCGCGTCAAGCCAACCCCGACCAGGACCGCCTTCCACCTGGAAACCAATGCCCTCACTGCGCAAGAAGATGCAGAGCAAGAATAGGGCTCCAGAGCCACATACGGACCCACAAGGAAATCCATAATGGAAGACCATCTTACTCGTCCAACGAGGGATCGCCTAAGTAAGTAAGTAAGTAAGTTTGCTTTCATTCTCTGAGTTCAATGCTTCTAAAAATTCATGAGAACTGGATTCTACCACCTACCCATATCTCTGCCTCTTCCCCTCTTTTTGTATTTCAGTAAGCTACACTGTAATGAGTTTGAATATTTTAATATATCTGAAATATTCCAAGACTAAGGACTTTATTACACAAAGCTGCTATTCTGCGGAAGTCACCTGATACCCAGTAGCAGCTACATACCAGCATGAGCTATCACATATCCCTACATTTGTGCAACTGCGCCAATAAGTGGTACTGCACTTCTACTTCCACAAGATCTTGTGATTTAAAAAAAATATATGTAAAAATATTATTTTAAAACATATTTTTGTAAAACCATTTTGAATGTATGATAGAGAAAAAAAATACAACATTTTTTTTTTAAAAAAAGACTGCCTTTGAAATAGAGCAATTGTGGGAGAGAAGAGTGTGGCTCAGTGATGTCACTTCTGCCTACAGGACTGAAAATACAAGCTATCTTACATGGATACCATGAACAAATTCTACAGATTCTATAGAATTAAAACAGCTGTGATTTAATTTTTAATTATCGTATCAGAAGCAGGGTAAGGTGTAATGTATTTAAAAAATACAAAGTTTAAAAACCTGGAATTATACTAAATGTCCTTTGACCAGTATCTGGCCACTTGGAGTGCCTCTCGTGTTGCTATAAGAAGGTCCTCCTTTGTGTATGTGGCAGGGCTCAGGTTGCACTGCAATAGGTGGACTGTGGTTTGCTCTTCTCCACACTCGCTGCTACTTCCTGGTGGATGTCAGGTGGTGCATGTGGTTTAATGTAATGTAAGTACTGTACTCAAACACCTTTTGGGGGGGGGGTAATTTTTAAGACTTTATTTTCTCAGATTACAAAAGATTTTGAATATGCTGAAACCAAACAGACACAGGTCTGTTATGTCAGAATTTAAAAGTCCAAACAAGTAAGACAATGTTTTGTTTTAAAATGCATTAAAAAGGGAGACACTGTAACTGAACCGATTACAAAATAAATATAGAATACGGTTGCTGTGAGCTTTCCGGGCTGTATGGCCATGTTCCAGAAGCATTATCTCCTGATGTTTCGCCCACATCTATGGCAGGCATCCTCAGAGGTTGTGAGGTCTGTTGGAAATTAGGCAAATGAGGTTTATATATCTGTGGAATAATGTCCAGGGTGGAAGAAAAAACTCTTGTCTGCTTGAGGCAAGTGCGAATGTTGCAATTTGCCACCTTGATTAGCATTTAATGGCCTTACAGCTTCAAATCAAAACTTGCCAATCAAGGTGGCCAATTTGCGATATTCACACTTGCCTTTCTCCCACCCTGGACATTCCACAGATATATAAACCTCACTTGCCTAGTTTCCCACAGACTTCACAACCTCTGAGGATGCCTGCCATAGATGTGGGCAAAACGTCAAGAGAGAATGCTTCTAGAACATGGCCACACACCCCGAAAACTCACGGCAACCCAGTGATTCTGGCTATGAAAGCCTTGGACAACACATCAAATACAGAATTATCAAAACAGATATCTGAGGGCTTAAACATCTAAAGTGTTTAAATATCTGAACAAATGTCTGACAGTTTGTATTTTGCTTTAGAAGAACTTGAGACGTGTTTGACCATCACTTCTCTTGGGGTCTCTCTCAAATGTTAGGCGACGTTTCTTAAGCTGTGGCAACTGGGCAAATTCTAAACCAGCCAAAGAAAAATAAATAATAGAAATGAGAAATCACATATCAAGCATGGCACGATGTTAAAGGTTTAGCTGATTAATGTTAAAAAACTATCTGCTTAAGCATTCAAAGGAGGACTTGAGGCAACTCTAAGCATTGATTTCCATTTCAGAGAGTTTAGCATTACCTGGTACTTAATTCTGCTACTGAATTTGTTAAAGTATTTAAAATGTTACAGCTGAATTGGCAGCCTAAAATACAGATTTTAAAAAAGTAGTGATGCATTTAAGCATTCATTAAAAAGGTAAGTTTCCCCTGACATTAAGTCTAGTCGTGTCCAACTCTAGGGGTAGGTGCTCATCTCCACTTCTAAGCTGAAGAGCTGGCGTTGTTCATAGACACCTCCAAGGTCATGTCGCCAGCATGATTGCATGGAGCGCCATTACCGTACTACAGAAGCAGTATTTATTGATCTACTCATATTTGAATGTTTTCGAACTGCTAGGTTGGCAGAAGCTGGGGCTAACAACGGGAGGTCACTCTACTCCCCGGATTTGAACCTGCAACCTTTCAATCACCAAGTTCAGCAGCTCAGTGGTTTAACCTGCTGCACCACCAGGGAGCCCTAACCATTCATTAGTGATCTTAAAATGGAGGCAAAGTTGTAGTACTTCATCTCTCAAACCCTACATCTTTAGGCCATATTATCAATGTGCCTTCTCACTGTACTACTACTCTCCTTTAAAAAAGGGTAAAGGTTTCCCCTTGACATTAAGTCTAGTCGAATCCGACTCTGGAAGGTGGTACTCATCTCCATTTCTAAGCCGAAGAGCCGGTGTTGTTTGTAGACACCTCCAAGTCATGTAGCCAGCATGACTGCACAGAGCGCAGTCATGCCGGCCAGAGTGGTACCTATTGATGTAGTCACATATGCATGTTTTCGAACTGCTAGGTTGGCAGAAGCTGGGGCTAACAATAGGAGCTCACCCCATCCCTCAGATTCGAACTGCTGACTTCCTCGTCAGCAAGTTCCGCAGTGTAGTGGTTTAACCCACTGCGCCACCACAGCCTCCCTTAAATTTAATAAAAAAGTCTTTCCAGTGGCTCCCAATCAAAGGACTGACCTAAGCTACATCTGCTTGAGCCTCAACAGTGGTTAGCACTGGGTAGTCTAGACCATCAATCTACTATCATTTAAATCAAACAGAAATAATAGCATTTGGGAGATATATATATATATATATATATATATATATATATATATCTCCCTACAGCTATACATTAACCATATATATATATATATATATAGAGAGAGAGAGAGAGAGAGAGAGAGAGAGAAAATTACCTCAAAACCTTAAAACAAACTATAGCAACTGCAAATCTAACATCAATTTGGACAATATTCAGACATTTTCAGAGGGATCGCAAATTAGCATCAAAAGGGGACAGAGGAATCTAGCGGCCATCTTTAACTAATTTATTTTATAATGCAGTGATGGCTTGTGAACTAAATTTTCTTCCTTTGGCATCTAGTTTTCTTCTGTTTTTAATCTGTTTTATTTTTCTTGTTTTATATATTGTGATTCTGGTTTTATATGAGTTGAAATTTCTATAAATAAAAATATACTGTTCATTTGTGGGATTAACATAACTCAAAAACCACTGGATGAATTGACACCAAATTTGGACACAATACACCTATCAGGCCAACGAGTGACCATCACTCATAAAATCACTGAAAAACACAGCAGAAGGTACTTTAAAAGCAAAAAACCCCGAAAAAATACATATATACACACACACAAAACACATATACACAGACTGGGCCGCAGCAATGCATGGCAGGGAATGGCTAGTATTTAATAAAAAATACTTGGGAAAAATATAGTAGGTAGGAAAAAAGAGACACTAGTTAAGCAGATTGTTTTTGAAATCATCAGCTTTTCTCCACTTGTTTAAAAACTCTGAGTGATTCCAAACTGAAAATATGCAAAAATAGGGCTGTTGTAGGTTTTCGGGCTGTATGGCCATGTTCTAGAAGCATTCTCTCCTGATGTTTCACCTGCATCTATGGCAGGCATCCTCAGAGGTCCTCTGAGGATGCCTGCCACAGATGCAGGCGAAATGTCAGGAGAGAATGCTTCTAGAACATGGCCATACAGCCCGAAAAACCTACATCAACCCAGTGATTCCGGCCATGCAAGCCTTCGACAATACATTATGCAAAAATACTTTGCAATAAACCTAATTAACAGTGATAAATAAAATCTGTCCTCAGATTATAACAGTGCAAGCATTTAAGGAAAATGTATTGTCGAAGGCTTTCATGGCTGGAATCACTGGGTTTTTGCAAGTTTTCCGGGCTGTATGGCCATGTTCCAGAAGCATTCTCTCCTGACGTTTCATCTGCATCTATTGCAGGCATCCTCAGAGGTTGAGAGAAATTAGGGGAAAGGGTTTATATATCTGTGGAATGTCCAAGGTGGGAGAAAATACTCTTGTCTGTTGGAAGTAGGTGTGAATGTTTCATTTGGCCCCTTGATTATCATTTAGGGAAAATGATCTGAGCTTCATTGTTGTTCAACTTTGATAAGGATAATTGTACACATTGTTTTGTGATTTTACGATACCTGCTGAAGAATCTTGCTCTCTGTGATTAGATGACAAATCAGGCCCTTTCCTTCCTGCACATTTTCCCGTCATTTGAAAGTTGAGGTTGAAGAATCCATCCTGGCTTGATATGGGTTTGTAGAAATCTGCATTGTAGAAAGACGACTTTGCTGTTTGCAGGAATGGATGTTCATCTCGAAACCTCTCCTCAGACTGAGGTTTTTGATTGTAGTACCCAGTTCCTTCAAATTCTCTTAGAAAATGGCCAGGGCTCTGCGGCAATAGGGATTTTTTAGTATAGTCAATGTACCACAAATCTCTGACATCCTGGGCAGAATGGCATTGCTTCACAAGAGGCTCCTTCTGGAGTTCACATATATTTTTAACATCTTGACGGACAGGATTCTTCAACAAGACTGGCATCTCCTGCTTTTGGCATCCCGCCCCTTTTGAGAGAAACATTCTCTTTTGTGAGACACTTTCAAGGTACGCCTTAGGGCCATTTTGACTGTAGTCTAAATATGGCATGGAGGCTTCAAAGTTGATGTGCTTAGGTTCTTCAGGATGGTTCAGTGCTCTTCTTTCTGCTTCCATTTGTTTCAGAAAGAGGAGATACTGTTGCTTCTCTATAGTATTCTGAAAGGGACCCATGTCTTCTTTGTATGAGATGGAAGGGGCCATTACATTCTGCCTCCTAATTGATTTTGGTGAATTACACAACTCATTTTGCTGGCAACCGGGATACGTGTTTCTGCTTTTCTGTACAGGAGAGCATCCTGAATCTTGATTAAAGGGATTGGATTCTTGAAAGTTGGACAACAAGACCTCAGAATTAGGAAACTGATAATAGGAGCTGATGGCATAGTCTGTTTCTCCTTCAGGTGGCACAGGTTCTTTTACAGGTTTTGACTTGGGCTGTGGTTTTATGGTGTACATTGATGTGATGTCACTAAAATGCTGTAACAGAAGAAACGGAATCAAGTCCATATAGATCCAGAACATCAGCTCTGATATCGAACAACACAACCCCCCATCCTTTCCAAAAATCTCTAAAACACATGGGACCTACAAAGGCAGCCAGAGGGAGATACATCGTATCTACCAACATGGCCCAGATACATGCTATGTCTACTCACTAACTCAGTATTTCTCAACCTGGGGGTCGGGACCCCTATGGGGGTCATGAGGGGATGTCAGAGGGGTCGCCAAAGACTAGCAGAAAACACAGTATTTTCTGTTGGTCGTGGGGGTTCTGTGTGGGAAGTTTGGCCCAATTCTATCATTGGTGAGGTTCAGAATGCTCTTTGATTGTAGATGAACTATAAATTCCAGCAACTACAACTCTCAAATGTCAAGGTCTATTTTCCTCTAACTCCACCAATATTTACATTTGGGTATATGGAGTATTTGTGCTAAGTTTGGTCCAGATCCATCACTGTTTGGGTCTATAGTGCTCTCTGAATGTAGGTGAACTACAACTCCAAAACTCTTGGTCAATGCCCACCAGACCCTTCCAGTATTTTCTGTTGATCATGGGAGTTCTATGTGCCAAGTTTGGTACAATTCCATCATTGGTAGAGTTCAGAATCCTCTTTGATTGTAGGTAAACTATAAATCCCAGCAACTACAACTCCCAAATGACAAAATCAACCCCCCAACCCCACCAGTATTCAAATTTGAGTGTAACGGGTATTTGTGCCAAATTTGGTCTAGTGAATAAAAATACATCTTGTATATCAGATATTTACATTACGATTCATAACAGTAGAAAAATTGCAGTTATTAATTAGCAACGAAAATAATGTTATGGTTGGGGGTCAGCAGAACATGAGGGACTGTATTAAGGAGTCTTGTTCATTGATGAGAGGACATATATCATTGAAGCCATCCCTTTGAATTTTGGTGAATATGTCTCTTTGTAAATCATTAATACCATGTTCCAAATATTTGTATGGACTGGCAAAGAAGTCCTTACGACAGAAGATTGAGCACTAATTATGACACTTTGAGAAGATATAATGGGATTTCACGGCCAGTGAGCAACAACATTACGCTGGCGCTCACTACTCTGCCAAATGCAGCATGGCATCATTAAGCAAAATTCAAGTGGGGGAAAAATGAACTGAAGAACTGGATGGCAGTAGAACTAAACCATGTTACAGAGATGCTGTCATGGCACCATATAAATGTTGGACTGAAGCAGTTTAGCAATGCCAATCTGATTGGTAATAACATACAAATTGAAGCCCTACTAATGTGTCAGTGTAATCTGCGGCCCTCTCAATAGGCAACTTTTACAAATGATATGCAGCAATTTTGTATCAGGAGTGATTTGAGAAACTGCAAGTTGCTTCTGATGTAAGACAACTGGCTGTCTGCAAGGATGCTGCCCAGGGTACGTCTGGATGTTTGATGTTTTACCATCCTGTGGGAGGCTTCTCTCATGTCCCCACATGGGGAGCTGGAGCTGATAGATAGAAGCTCACCCCACTCCTCAGATTTGAACAGCTGGCCTTTCGATCAGCAGTCCTGCTGGCACAAGGGTTTAACCCATTGAGCCACCAGGGGCTCCACTATGCAGCAATTGTAGATCAGGCATATTCTAATTATGGTACTTTGCATTTTAATTTTGTATAATTACACCAGTGCTAACCCCTCTCTATGGCATTATACATATGATCAGGATTAATTTTTCATTTAAAAGAATGCAACTGTATGAACTATTTTAGCCTCTTTTGGGTTTCAACTGAAGGCTAGATTTTTTTGCTTTTGTAGAATCATAGAGCTGGAAGAGACCACAAGGGCCATCCAGCCCAATCCCCTGCCAGGCACACAGAAAGAACGACAACAAAACACAGCAAAGTACACACTGTCACACTACATATGATATGTTGATATCCTGCATATCTGACCTTCAAGGCCTTTTCTGGTACTTCTGGCAAAAGTTCCTGAAGTTGGGCAAAAGATGCCGACAGAAGCCACTCCAGTGAAGAACTTTTCTTTAACATGACTTGAGCCACCAGAGGGTTGATGCATGGAAAGGTAAGCAAGCATTTCTCTGCCTTGAAGCGGACAAAATGCAATTAGCTTTGTGATGTTCTCAAGGTGAACTACAGCAGGAGACAATTTAATTATGTATTGAAGTGAAAGTGTAATTTTTTCAAACTGTCATATGGTTACGAAAAGATCTATGTGCTTATAAAATAGTCTGGAATTAATGGAGCATGAATGACTGTAAATATTCTTAATAGAGTGCAGCCCAAGTTCCCAGAAACATCTGTTGTTAGGGAAATTACAGGTAGACAAGCACTTAATGATTAATTTGCATTCTGAAAGGGAAAAAATACACTTCAGATGGAGATCCTATGGAATATTCTCATCTCTTCCTGAGTCATTTTCCAGGGCAGACACTGATTTTGCGAGACAAATGGGCAGTGCTTTTAGATTCCTTCTCATTTGTTACTATTAATTTTATTATCAGAACCACCCAAAATAAAAAAATAAAATCTAGGAACTGGTGAATTGGTTAGCAAAGAAAGAAAACAGATTGGTTTGCAGAGCGGAAAAGAGCTTAATGATGAATAATTTGGCAAGCAAAGGGAAATTATTTTGGGAAAATAAATAAGAAAGAAATTTATTTAATGATTATTTTGGAATCTTAGAGCACAAAAATACAATATCCTGTACAACTCAGTCATCCTTTAGCCTCACTGCTTTGCCATTTTATTAAATTGGTGATCTGTGTCAAAATTAGATATGAATTAAGTATTATTTTTTCCTAAATTTGAAATTACCTGAAATCTAAAATTGGTGATGGGTGGCAAAAATAGTGACACTTTTGTTTTCGAATTGATCAGTATACACAATGTTTGTTTCATGCACAAAATTATTATAAATATTGTGTATCAATTTACCTTCAGGTGATGCGTATAAGGTGTAAAGGTAAAAGTTTCCCCTTGACATTATTTCTAGTCATGTCCGACTCTGGGGGGTTGTGCTCATCTCCATTTCTAAGCCGAAGAGCCAGCGTTGCTCGTAGACACCTAGGTCATGTGGCCAGCATGACTACTTAGAGCGCTGTTACCTACTCACAGAAGCTGTACCTATTGATCTACTCATACTTGCATGTTTTCAAACTGCTAGGTTGGCAGAAGCTGGGCCTAACAGCGGGAGATCATCCTGCTTCCCGGATTCGAACCACCAACCTTTTGGCCAGCACGTTCAGCAGCTCAGCTGCTATTTTAAAAAAGATACTATTTGCTACTTAAAGATTAGACTCCTGTGAATTGATGGCATGTGGATATAGACATACAAAGCCAGTGAGGCCACATATTGCTGTAATCATAAAAGGAACAAATCTTTCCTTTGTAATGTCACAATTTCAGTGTAAGCTAGTTACACTTCAACTGTAGCCCCCAACCAATAAATTACAAGTAATTTTTTATTTATGAGAAGTTACTTCCATGCTCTGGAGCTGTTTTCAGTTAAATAGTTCATTTAAAGTAAACAAACCTCTGATGGCAAGACTGAAAGCCAGGCTTTGTCCAGCCACTCCTGAGGATGCCTGTTGGATGTCAACAGCATGTGGTCAGCAATCTGACGAACCAAAAATGCTGTCTCTTCAATTCCTGGTGTAAGAGCCACCTAAAAGATTGTTTCATTTTCAATTTGTTGCAAATACAATATAATATGACTAAACAAAATATGGATATGGCAAAACATAAAAATAATCATATATTTAGGATGAAAATAATCAGGGGCTAGCTATGCAAAGAAACAAACAAACAGCTCAACAACCGTGAAAAAAGTATATAATAATAATAATAATAATAATAATAATAATAATAATAAGCAACTTTATTTGTATCCCGCTCCCTCTCTCTTGTTGTAAGCCAATTTGCGGCGGCTTACAACAAACAAACACAGTAAATTATATAATACAGATAGTAAACAAAATTTTCAAATATTGTTATATAGTGTAATCCTTGGGAAGAGTGTAGATGTTGGGAGGTGAGAAAATATACAGATTCACTGGTGGATTGTGACAATACAGTATGAGATCGCCAACACCTTTTGCAATTCCCTTATTCATATATAAAAAAGATTCCATCTAAACATCAGGAAGAACCTCCTGATGGTAAGAGATGTTTGGCAGTGGAATATGCCGATGCCGTGGAATATGATGGAATCTCCTTCTTTGGAGGTTTTTAATCAGAGGCTGGATGACCATCTCTTGGGAGCTCTTTGATTATGTGTTCCTACATGACAAAATGGGGTTGGAATGGATGGAGCTTCTTCCAACTCTGTGATTCTATTATCTAAATAAAACACATTCCATAACCTATAATAGATTTGTTATTGTATAAAAGGCAAGATACAGAGAGTAGGTTATTAACACTGTCAATAACTATTTTACAACACAGTACCTTCACATCAAAGTCCTCTGACTTCTGGGCAAAAGGCACCAAGGCGGCATAAATTAAGGCTAGATGATGAAGGGTTTTGCCACCTAGACTATAGCTAAACAAAATATCATATTATTAACCTTACATGAAAAAATACTGCAAATTATAATGGATTATACTGGATTGATGAAGGGCAATTCTACACCATACCTGCTGCATTGGCCTGTGTTTTTAAACTGTGTTTTGGGGCTGTTTTCTAACCGTTTTTTTTCTGGCTGATTTGCTGGGGAAATATGTGTCCCCTTCCCAGGGCATTTGTGCTCACTTTGTGGTGGCTATGGACTGTAATAAAGTTTTGATTGATTGATACACAGCTATATAATATTTGGGTCTGAACCGGTGTCCAAAATGCCAGCTTTGACCCACGTTGCAACCCAGCAAGGACACCCTGAATCACTTCATTTTGTTCAAATGTTTGATAACGCTTTGCATAATTTGCAAATTTCTTAATGAATTCCATAAAACGAACTTGATTTTGAAAGATGGATGACCAAAGACTTATCAAAGCACAAGTTTTCAGTACTTAGCTCGGACTATTCAGCAAATTTATAATGTATAATGATAATTGCAACCTTCTTTTTCTCCTAAATGGCTCCTCGTATTTAATATCTGCATTGTAAGCTAGTACATTGTCTTCTCCATGCTTGGAAATAGCTGTATCTACTGAATTCAACACATGCAGGCAGTTGAAAATTTGCCAGTGCATTGGAAGGCTAGAGCAAATTTATTTTGATTGATGTAGGACAATGTATTTGAAGCTAGCTGATGTGAGAAACCATAATTCCCTCAATGGATGCCAGGAACTGGTATTACATGTATGCCTGTTGCTACAACTGCCCTTCCTTGCCCTAGACCAACACTTTCAAGTAGAAATTGTACTACATATGCTTAATTTCCTTCCGTGTAAGGAAATCTAGACGAAAGATGAGCCAAGATTATAGCCCTTCTAATAATTTTACTGCAATTAACCATGCTCACTCAGTCTGGTAGACCATAAAATGCTCATCCTTCATCTAGACTAATTACCGTATGTACTCAAGTATAAACCAACCCAAATATAAGCTGAGGCATCTAATTTTACCACAGAAACTGGGAAATCGTATCAATTTGAATATAGGCCAAGGGTGGGAGATGCAGCAGCTACTGGTAAATTTCAAAATAAAAATAGATATCAATAAAATTACATTAATTGAGGCATCAATAGGTTAAATGTTTTTAAATATTTGCATAAAACTGTAATTTAAGATAAGACAGTCTAACTCTGATTAAACCATTATTCTAACCTTCTTCAATGTAAATTAACTTTTGTATCCTTCCACTAATAATAAAGAGAGTAAAATAATAAATGTAATAATAACAGTAATAAGAGTAAAATAATATATGTAATAATAATAAGAGTAAAATTATGTAAATGTAATAAAAACAACAATAGAATTAAATAATAAATGTAATAATAACAATAAGAGAGTAAAATAATATAAATGTAATAAAAATAAAATAATAGAATATAATAATAAATAACCTTGACTCAAGTATAAGCCTTAAAAAAGGGATGAAAAAGTTTTGAACTTACTGGGAACTTAGTCTTTCTCTGGAGTATAAAATAATCCAACAGGAGTTATACTGAAGGGACAATACCATCAGTCTTAACACAATATTATCAGAAGACTTTTCATAATTGAGTTCTTCGACATTCTGCAATAAAAACAGACATAAAGCAAATGTCTGATTGGATATGCAAGTCTGTATCTAGCACCAATAATGCTGTAAGGGCAGAAAAGCATTCACTCTTAATTCAGTAGACTACTCAACTCTCTCATGTTGTTTCCCTTTTTAAAAATAAAACTGTGATAATTTAATTAAGGAATGATTTCAAAAATTATATTAGATGTCTATCAAATCATTGTAGAGACATAAAAAGGCAAATTTTCTTCAGTCTTGATATATAAGATAATTTCCTCAGCCCTCCAGAGCACGTTTTGAAGGCATGTGGTAAGATTCGGGGGGAAGAAGAAATTATTTGATATCCTTCCCCTGCCATTGACAAAACAGTTGACCCATGAAATGGAAAGAACCAATAATCAAAGTGAAGGGAAAAAGAAAATACAAGAAAGTAAATCACACCATCTCCATGATCCAACAAATAGAATCAAAGCCAAAATGGAATCACAACTATTTGTGGAGGGAGGCGGAGGGAGGGGGGATAATAATAATGAGATAGTTATAAAGAGGAGACCAAGATGGAATTAGAAAGGAGCAGAAAATTAGTTATACCAGATGGATATGTACGTAATTTATTTTCCTTGTATTACCTGCATAACAAGAGCAGTACATTCGTCTATAGTCATCACGACATAGCGCTCTGTGCTTCCAAAGAACTGTAATGCCTCGCAGCAACTTCGCTCAATAAATGTAATATTGTACCTAGACAGAACGGTCCCTATTAGTTGGCCAAGCACAACATTGCAACAGTCCATCCAAGCGTATTACTGCTGTGCTCTTTATACATTCTCTGTTTTATTCTCAAGGTGATCCTTGAACTCTGGAAGCTGAGCTCCAAGAAGGCTCCCCTCCCATCTTTTGCACTCTATACACTGTATTTCATCACATAACAGTCGCCACTGTATAATAATCACAATCCTCTTTTTGGGTCCCAAAATCAATATTTTCCCTTTCTTTGTGTAATCATCACATTAAAAAAACACCCAGAAATGGAGCCCTCCCTCTTCTTCTTAAAACAAAAAACAAAAAAACCCAGAAACCATTGAAACTATTAAAAAAACCCAAAACTAAGGTACATTTTTGATCGTGTAATAGTTGTACTCTCCTTTAAAGCCAAAAATGTAACAGGCAAAAGGCACAGCAATGCATAGAAAATCTCATTACTGATGGACCTGCTTATAAGAAGAAGGACTGCAGTGGCACGAAGAGGATACTGCCAGCAATGACAGGAAAATGCAATGATACAACAGCAGCCTTCTCTGCAGCTTCACTACTTACTGGGATTCCAGTAACTGCAAGATTTCTGGAGTGTTGAGAAGTCCTTCGGATGTCAGAAAAAAATAAGGAACTGGTACATTCGAAAGGATACGCCAAGAATAATCTGGAAAAGCCTCGTCTGAAGAAAAAAACTTTATGAATATATACTATTATCATAATTACATATAATTTACTTATAATCAATCTGTGGCAGTGCCAATTTCACCCTGGATTTAATGGCCATCCCTCCTGCAGCTGCTCTGAGTTGATACCAAATGAGGAAGCACAAGTACAGCTTCTGCTCAATTCACTATTCTCACGGTGTCTGGATTTACACTGCCATATTTATTTATTCATTTATTTACAGCATTTATATTTTGCCCTTCTTACCCCAAAGGGGACTCAGGGCAGATCACATGCACAGTAAACATTAAATGCCATTAAACTGACAGGACAGACAACAGATAGAGGTATATGTCAACGTTTTTCCCAACTTCGGCATCCTGGAGGTTGTGTTCGATTCTGGCCACCGAGGGGGGGGGGTGCTTTCGTGCCATCCTCTATGACGAAAAGCCCTTGATCATAGACTTCCTCCTTTCTTTAATCCCCAGCATTTTCTGGTACTTCCCAGGATCTGATCCCAGATTATCTGCTTTAAATTGGATTATATGAGACTACAATTTGTAAGCCACTCTGAGTCCCCTTCGGGGTGAGAAGGGTGGCATATAAATGTAGTAAATAAATACACTGACAGATAATTTGGGCTAAGCAGATAATCTGGGATCAGATCCTGGGATACAGTGAAGTGTAGATCCTGACAGTATCATGTCCACCAGCTAAGTCTGGGTCTTCTACAAGAACATAAAGGTGATTGTCTGCATCCAAAATGCAGATTAAAGAACAATAATTTTCATTGTGCAACTTCAAAAGTATGTTGGTAACTTTTGATGATCAGGTAATCCATAGCAGATCTTTGTTATGACTGATGGAACTTCCAGCTTTTAGTTGTACAAGAAAATAGTCAGGTTCATAATCAGAAATGCTAACCCTGGGAGCAAAATGGTTTTGTTCACTATTTTTGACAGTTACCTGTGCCCCCATGACCTAAACTGTTATATGCCTGGTCTATCAGAGAAGTTCTTAAATTCCATAGTTGTTAAAGAATGGATCACATAAAACAAATAGTGTCCTTCTATTTGCTCTAATATTAAACAAGTCTAATTAGCTGAATTCGCCGTTATATAATGTGCTTCTTTTCTATCCCAGAAACCATTTAAAAAGAGGGCAGCAGACTTTTCATGGAGCAAGCCTAACAATTCTTATATGATTATTCCATCCATATAATATCATAAATATTGACCTACCAGTTCCGGCTGCTTCTGGGAGAGTGGTTTCGAAAGTTATATAAGAAAGACCCAGATTTTTGCAGAGATCAATCCAGCAGGAATTTTTTGAATAGTTATACTCCACCACAAGTGAAAAATGAGTCCAGGGGAAATCAGGTCCAATATGCTGATTACGTACAACAACGCAAAAATATCTTTGTAAACTAAAAATAAAACATCAAGATTTTTAAATGTCTCTCTTTAGTTATGTTCTACATTTTTTTTTACAAAAACTTCATTGATCTTAGACTGTTTGGCAGTAAACAATAAACTTTACCCACCTACTTATGACATTTTTGTTCTCTAACAAAGTTCCCCTTTTCTCTGCATGCAAACACCCAATTTTCAAGCCTATTTATAGACAGAAAGATACTGTTAAAACAATGCCACTCCTGAAACACTTAGTAAACTGGAAAGCTTCTTGTCAATTTACATTATATGTGAGAGAATAAATGATTTATATTTAAATGATTACTTGAGACATGTCCAAGGATACAGACCAGGCAGACCAGTATGATCCGGCAAGGGGACCCTCACCTCCACCCAATTCAGGGTCATTAGAGAAGGCACATTTTCAGGGGCAGCTCCAGAGTTATGGAACACACTAGCAGAAGTCACATTGGTGGTCACTCTGGTATCATTTAGAAAAGATGTAAAGACTTTCCTATTTGAAAGAGCCTTTAACTAAATCCAGTACTTTATGGTCGTATGGGAATTTTAATTTCTCCTTGTCATTAAGTCTAGTCATGTCTAACTCTGGGGGCTGGTGCTCATCTCCATTTTTAAGCCGAAGAGCCGGCATTGTCCGTAGACGCCTCCCAGGTCATGTGGCCGGCATGACTGCGTGGAGCGCTTTACCTTCCCACTGGAGCTGTACCTATTGATCTGGGTTGTTGTAGGTTTTTCGGGCTATATGGCCATATTCTCTCCTGATGTTTCACCTGCATCTATGGAAGGCGCCCTCAGAAGTTGTGAGGTCCTAGAATATACTTCTAGAACATGGCCATATAGCCCGAAAAACCTACAACAACACAGTGACTCTGGCCATGAAAGCCTTCGACCATATACCTATTGATCTATTCACATTTGAATGCTTTTGAAGCTGGGCCTAACAGCAGGAGCTCACCCTGCCCCTCGGACTCAAACTGCCGACCTTTCAGCAGTTCAGCAGCTCAGTGGTTTAACCCGCTGCGTCACTGGGGGCACCACATTGGATTTAGAGAACAGTTTTATCCATGAGCCCCCTGGTGACTTAGTTCCTACTAAGCTGGTGCCCATCCTTTTGGTTTTCTACAGGCATCTGGTTTGCCACTAAAGGAACAGAATGCAGGATTTATTTTATTTATTGTGTCAGAACCGAACTGAGGGTGCAGTTGTAATGTGTTTAAAAACACAAAGTTAAAAACTTTGCATTATACTAAATGTCCTAGACTAGTAGCTGACCACTTGGAATGCCTCTGATATTGCTATTAAAAAGTCCTCCATTGTGCATGTGGCAGGGCTCAGACTACATTGTAATAGGTAGTCTGTGGTTTGCTCTTCTTCGCACTCACATGTCACAGACTCCACTTTGTGGACCCATTTCTTAAGGTTGGCTCTGCATCTTGTGGTGCCAGAGCACAGTCTGTTCAGTGCCTTCCAAGTTACCCAGTCTACTGTGTGCCCAGAAGGAAGTCTCTCATTTGGTATCAGCCATGGCTTGAGGTTCAGGGTTTTCGCCTGCCACTTTTGGACTCACGATTGCTGAGGTGTTCCTGCAAGTATCTCTGTAGATCTTAGAAAACTATTTCTTGATTTAAGGCATTGGCGTGCTGGCTGATATTCAAACATATGATGGGCCACAGATGTCACTGCCTTGGTGCTTTGATTGTTTGCTGCTACTTCCCGGCGGATGTCAGGTGGTGCAATACCAGCTAAACAGTATAATTTCTCCAGTGGTGTGGAGTGCAGGATAAGAAAAACCTTTTGTCTGGTCCATCACAGCTATACTCATTGGGGAGGTTATCGCATGAGGATGTTTGCAAAACATCTTATTTCTTTTGGGGGGGGGGAGTTTCAGCCTCTGCACGCCCTCAAATACCCAAAAGAAGGTTTCGCACTCACCTTTTCAGAATATACAAATGCAGAAAAGGTTAGGAATCGCAAAATTATTTTATTCATATTTTATGTGTTTGGAAAAACCTGGAAGTGATTTATTCTGCAACTGCAAACTCACTCAGTGATGAAGCGACATCATGGTGGACTTTCATGAGAATGAGTCAAATCTTAGAGTTGCGTAATTCTTCTTGGTATGGACACTGAGAGGAAATGTTTCAGTTAAATCACAGGTAGGTAGAGTGGCTATTCCGGTGTTTTCTGGCTTTATACGAAGATGGATTTGCAATGCCAGAACACGCTTGTAGAACCTCATGCCGTAATGCCCATAGTCTTAAACCATCAGGCCGTCTATGTTCAGTGCCAATGTTTGTTGGTAAATAAAGTATTTCATAAAATCCAATATGTTTTCACTCAAGGGTCTTTTTATCTAAAAAGATATTGAGGTCTAGGAATTTTTACTACTTTGGGAAACTGAGGAATCTGTAATACTTAGGGAAGTCATGGAATACCATTTCAAGACAGGTATATACAACCAAACAAAAGTCTAGCTATAATTTCCAATTGAAAAAGTAACATTTACCTTGCACTGTACTAACAATGTTGATAAGGTCAGCTATTTCTTCATCAAAATCCATTCTAGTCACAATGACCACCTGGCGTGTTATATATAAAACAAAACTTATTTCTCTCAAATTCAGTTTCTCTTTGCATTTGACATTTAAAAATTAAAAGTAATGTAAGTCATTATTTTGAAATTAAGCTAGAATAATTAGGAGATTGTTTTGAGCAAATTACTATGAGCAAAAGATTTGTCACTGATAATTTAGAATAAATTTGAAAGTACGTTATAGAATGTGAAAAATGTGAAACTAACTCTAAGAAAAATAATCGATTTTACTGAATGCAAGTTTTATCCTTTGCTTACACAGAGAAATGCCTTATGTCTTACTATACCGTACTTTTGGGAAGAACAGCCTCTGTTACAAATAATAAAAACAACCCTATTATTAAACAGAACAAAGCAGCCATCTCTAGAAGAAGATTTTAAGCATAATAAAAGGGTAGCAATTTTAAAATTACTAATTCCAGCCTAAATCTAATTGCCTGCCACAAGTGGTCCATCTGTTCCCATACCAGGACTCCACTGTTCAATGAGTCTATTTTAGATAGGACTAACAACTGAAAAAGTGCCAATGTGGTTTAGTGGTTGGAGTGTTAGACTATGAGTGTTGGAGACGGGGGTTCAAATTTCTGCTAATCCATGAAAACCCATCATGTCAGCTTGGCCAAGCCAAATTCCCTTAGTCTCAGAAGAAGGTGGATACAAGCCTCCTCTGAACAAATCTTGCTAAAAATAAGTGTGATAGTGGAGGAGTTTTAAAAGGGAATTTTCAGAGATGCTCTAAATGCTCGTATGTCCTGATTTACTGCTATATTGGCTTGTTTCTGAAGTAGGCCTTTGTTTACAGAAAATGCTGATTGTTTGAGAAAATGTTGCTGCAGACAGGAAGTTACTATTCAAGGATAAAAGCACATCCAGACAAAACTGGCTAGCTAGTGGTTAGTTAGAATTCCTAAGTTTCCCAGTCACTCTGTAGTTATGCTTGAAATAGAATAACAGATAAGATTGATTCATTAAGACAGTCATGGTCAGAGAACAATAGACTATAGTTGTACTATAGTTAGGGTCCCATGTGTGCTATTATGGCAGTCAAAATCATAAGGAATCAATAAGCAACTGTAGAGCTAGCTTAGACCAATGAAATGATTTGTCTGTGGAAACCAATGAGAATGTGTATTCAATTTACTGCCAAAAATGATAAAAACTCTGCAGCCCCATTGGGGGTTGCGATAAACTATTTTGACTGCATTCCTGTGTGCATGTTTGCCGATATTGCTACGGCCTTTGTAGCTCAATAAAGCCTTTGTAGTAAGAATCCAACTTATTTTATTTATTTATTTACTTTATTTGTATACCGCTCTTCTCAGCCCTTAGGCGACTCAGAGCGGTTTACAACAGTTTAGATATACAGAATACAAAATCATTATGCATTTAAAAACAATTACTAGTATTATATTGCATTACATTACAATATTATAAATATTATATGTATATACAATATATTATATTATAACATATTATTAGAATAGCACAGGAGACAAGGTGGAACTTATGGCTTTGTCCTTGCATAGTTACATTTGGCCGTTGATGCCAACCAATAGGGTTGCCATAAGTTTAAAACATTCTACAGCTCCTCCACGATGACAACATTCTTGGACAGAAGTGACTCCCAAAGTGACCCATTTAAGGTGGAGTCAGCTGTCAAATAGGGATGTGTTATTGCCCCAACATTATTTTCCATCTTCATCGCTATGATACTTCATCTTTTTGATGGCAAGCTCCCCAACGGAGTGAAAATAATCTATCAGACAAATGGCAAGCTATTTAATCTCAGCAAACTGAAAGCCAAAACCATGGTTACAAAAACATCTGTTATAGAACTCTAACATGCCAATGATAATGTAGTCTGTGTGCATTCAGAAGACCTACAAGCCACTCTAAACACCTTTGAATGAGCATATGAAAAGCTTGGCCTCTCAATGAACATCGAGAAAATCAAAGTGCCCATCCACTAGTCACTAGCCAATCCCTCTGCAATGCCAGAAATACATACAGCTTAATGGTGTAACATTAGAAAATGTTGACTGATACCTTGGCAGCCACCTCTCCACAAAAGTCAACATTGACACTGAAATACAACACCGCCTGAGCTCTGCGAGTGCAGCATTTTTCCAAATGAAGCAGAACTTAATTAAGGTGGCAGGCTGGAGTTGCACATGTCTGCTATTACAAGCGATTTTTGCACATTCTAGGAGTTGCAACAAAATAATTTCTGGTAAGTATGAAGGGCCTCATTTCAAACGACAAGCTGAAGCCCTCTGTTGCCCCAGATCTATTCATGGGAACACATCCCTCCCTCCCTTAAGTCTTCTCACTCTACTTATCATTTTGTCTGTCACTTGCAGCAATAAAACCATACAATGATTTTCATCAGAGGCCAACCTTTTAATATAATTTACCTTATTTACCTTATTCTGACCATCTGTATTACTGTGTACCCACTTAGAGATTTGATGCTGCAGCTCTGTTATCTTGGGGTTGGTTTCCTGCTTCTGAAGAGCAAAGTGCACAATCTTCAACTGTCTCCAAATATTATCCAGGCTAGAGCCTAGGAAGTCCTTATAGCTATCTTTTGCCTTGGACAAATATCCTATTTAAAAATAAGTAGATTAATAATACATTTTAAGATTTTTCACTAGCCGTTTTTCTTTTCCTATCTATAGGCCTACACCTTTCTTACAAGTAGCCTGACAGTAAAATATTATTTGACTGGAACTATCAAACTATTTAGAAAAGGCAGAGGAACGAGAGACCAGATTGCCAATATCCGCTGGATAATGGAGAAAGGCAGGGAGTTTCAGAAAAACATCTATTTCTGCTTCATTGACTATTCTAAAGCCTTTGACTGTGTGGATCATAATAAATTGTGGCAAGTTCTTGGTGAGATGGGCATACCAAGCCACCTTGTCTCTCTCCTGAGGAATCTGTACAAGGACCAAGTAGCAACAGTCAGAACTGACCACGGAACAACAGACTGGTTCAAGATTGGGAAAGGCGTACGGCAAGGCTGCATACTCTCACCCAACCTTTTTAACTTGTATGCAGAACACATCATGCGAGGATGTGCAGGGCTTGATGAATGCAAAGCTGGGGTGAAAATTGCTGGAAGAAACATTAACAACCTCAGATATGCAGATGACACCACTCTGATGGCCGAAAGCGAGGAGGAGCTGAGGAGCCTTCTAATCAAGGTGAAAGAAGAAAGCGCAAAAGCCGGGTTGCAGCTAAACGTCAAAAAAACCAAGATTATGGCAACAAGAATGATTGACAACTGGAAAATAGAGGGCGAAAATGTGGAGGCCGTGACAGACTTTGTATTTCTAGGTGCAAAGATTACTGCAGATGCAGACTGTGGCCAGGAAATCAGAAGACGCTTACTTCTTGGGAGGAGAGCAATGTCCAGTCTCGATAAAATAGTGAAGAGTAGAGACATCAGACTGGCAACAAAGATCCGCCTTGTCAAAGCCATGGTATTCCCTGTAGTAACCTACGGATGTGAGAGCTGGACCTTAGGGAAGGCTGAGCGAAGGAAGATCGATGCTTTTGAACTGTGGTGTTGGAGGAAAGTGCTGAGAGTGCCTTGGACTGCGAGAAGATCCAACCAGTCCATCCTCCAGGAAATAAAGCCCGACTGCTCACTGGAGGGAAAGATACTAGAGACAAAATTGAAGTACTTTGGCCACATCATGAGGAGACAGGAAAGCCTAGAGAAGACAATTATGCTGGGGAAAGTGGAAGGCAAAAGGAAGAGGGGCCGACCAAGGGCAAGATGGATGGATGGCATCCTTGAAGTGACTGGACTGACCTTGAGGGAGCTGGGGGTGGTAACGGCCGACAGGGAGCTCTGGCGTAGGCTGGTCCATGAGGTCACGAAGAGTCGGAGACGACTGAACGAATGAACAACAACAAATCAAACTATAATTTTATAAAACTATACAAACTATTTTACAACCAAAATGTTAAAAATACCAACAGATGTTCATATTGTGACAGAGTGTCTCTAATTAACAGCAGGCTTTTAAACATATTTTTCATTTAAATAATGGTGGTGTAAATTTATTTACAGCCATGCCTTTGACTTCTTTAAAAGTCGCATCGTTGCTTTACTCACAAACTTCATGTATTCAGCATACAGGTATTTTGCAAATCAATCCAGTTACAGACAGGATTTGAAGTCGTTTCTCTGTGTAGGTAACACAGGGCATCTTTCTCATAATAGCCCATAGTCCAAAGCATCTCTGTTCTGAGAGTCTAATAGAGTCTCTGTCTATTCTTAAAGTCCAATGAAGCCTCTAAGCATACTGTTCCTACTGAAGTCCAAAACAAACACCTGTTCCTAGGGTCTTCTAAAGGAATACATCTAAAATGAAGTCTGAGTCCTGAACAAGCCTTGACCTGATCACATGGTCTGCAGCCCCTCCCACAACAAAGAGTTAAGGTCAAATTGCATACCAATAAACACATATACAACACAGTAAGCAGTCTGAATTGTATGCATAACAAATAACTAGTGGAGCCTTAAGAAGGTTGCCATTTCCAACAATGCCTAAATATCCTAAAGGCACTAGATTTTGTCAGATCTCGCAAGCCAAACAAGGTCAACTCTGGTCTGTACTTGAATGAAAGACCATTTAGGTACTCTAGGCTTTATTTCAAAGGAAGGAACTTGCAAAACTACCTCTGACTATTCCTTGCCTTAAAAAACCTATACTACTCATAGGTCACCATGAATCGAAAGGTGACTGAATAAACACATACAAACACATTTACTGATAAAACTAACCCAATGCTGTGCTCAAGTTACATGTTAGTAAGAGGTCTCGAACGGTTACCAGCAAATGAAGAACAGCAGCATGTTTGAACAGTGTAAAATCGTTCCCATCTTGGGTACCTGATTAAGAGAAAAGTGTTATTTTACTTATGATTTTATTTCAAAATACAAGGTTTAGTAATCATAGCCCAAGAAATAACATTTAACTACAAGGTTCTGCATTTGACACCCTAAAGATGCTTCTACACAAGGCTTTACACAAGCAATGCTGGAACACTGCTGTTCTGTTTTGAAAGGCCAAAACATCTGGGGACCCACAGGTTGAGAACCACTGCATAAGGTACTACAGAGTTGCATTGGGGATCTAGCAAATGTCTAGAAAGGATGCCTCTCTAGGTCCTCCAGTGCAACTTGATGGTATATTGGCACTGAAGTGAGGTATTTAATGGCATTTGGTCATAGCCGTGTTTTCACCCATGACTGTGTCTCTTATAGATATGGGGGTCTTATAGTAATTCTGAAGATACAAGGAAGGACAAAGAAAACGCTAGCATGCAGTGACTGAGAGCAACATCATTTAGATTCTTCCTAAAAGCTTTGTGACCTCATGGGCTGTCCCTGAGGTCACGAAGGGTCAGAAGCAACTGAATGAATAAACAACAAAAGCTGAGTGAACAAATGATATGCTTTGAGGAGAAAGAAATTATTGGGAGAGTAACCTAAATCACTATAGTTGATACAAGCTAATACTTTTTCTGCCCCTACCCTCATCCTACCTCTGACCACAATCATATAAGCATTTAAAGGTAATGTATACAAAGGCTGGATCTACACTGCCAAATAATGCAGTTTCAAAATGCAGTTTAACTGCATAGAGCTGGATTATGTACCATGGGTTAAACCCTGGTGCTGCTGAACCTGAAGGTTGGCAGTTTGAATCTGTGGGACGGGATGAGCTCCTGCTGTTAGCCCTAGCTCTAGCTCCTGCCAACCTAGCAGTTCGAAAACATGCGAATGTGAATAGATAAAGAGGTACCGCTTCGGCAGGAAAAGGCAAAAGACGCTCCAAGCAGTCTTGCTGGCCACACAACCAGACAACGCAGGCTCCTTTGCTTGGAAATGGAGAAGAGCACCTCCCCCAAAGCCAGAGATGAATACCACCTCCAGAGCCGGAAATGAAAATAGAAGACTTTGCCTTTGTCTCTGTATTTGTCTCATTGTATGTCATTGTAAAAAGGCATTGAATGTTTGCAGAGGCGGCCCTAGGTAATTTTCAACGGTAAGCAAACAGTATTTTGGCCCCCCCCCCAACCAATCATTGATATATATTTTCTGTTTGTCGTGGGAGTTCTGTGTGCCATATTTGGTTCAATTCCATCATTGGTGGAGTTCAGAATGCTCTTTGATTGTAGGTGAACTATACATCCCAGTAACTACACTTGCCACACTTGCTCCCTTGCCTGGCCCGCTTTGGGTCCAGAGGCGTGCCTGAAGACCCCGGCGTGTGCACCAAAAGTCACCTCTTCTCCTGACTTTCTCCTCAGCCATTGGGACCAAGAGAGAGAGAGAGAGAGAGGTGGAGATGCCCACCTTTCCTGAAGGTAGGTGCAAAAACAAAGGAGGGAGCGGAGGTGGGAGATACCTCCAGCCGGAGGGGCTCTCTCTCTCTCTCTTGGTCCCAATGGCTGAAGAGAAAGTCAGGAGAAGAGGCGACTTTTGGTGCGCACGCTGGGGTCTTCAGACACGCCTCCGGACCTGAAGCGGGCCAGGCGCGGCGGCTCCGCCCCTTGGCCCACCCACGGATTGGAGAGGAGAGGAGGTGGGTGGAGCGCCGGGGATCGGGAAAGGGAGCCGGTCATGGGGAAGGGATCGAACGCAGAGAACGATTGAGTGCCGGCTCTGCTCGCGCAGCCGGTGGCTGGGTGGAGCAGGAACAAGAGAGGCCAGGCGAGGCTCAAGGGCCCGGCCCCTTTGGGAGCAGGATCGCCTGGCAGCGAGTTAAGAAAGTCGAGGCTCCCCCCGGACTGCTAGGGCTTTTGTGAGCTGAGGGGGCGCTCCTCAAGTGGCGGTCGAGGGGCATTTACAGAGGCACCTCTGCGCCCCTGGCAAAAAAAAGTGTTCTGCGACCGCTTACTTTGCGTAATGGACGAGCCGCCCCTGAATGTTTGCCTGTATATATATTGTGATCTGCTCTGAGTCCCCTTGGGGAGAAGGGCAGAATATAAAGAAAGTGTTGTTGTTGTTGTTGTTGTTGTTGGCAGTGTAGATCCAGCCTGAGTCAGAATAATCAAGTTCTGGGTCTTCTCTTTCCTGGATCTGACCCATAATCTCTTTTAAATGTTAACGTCAGTACAATCTTTGTATGAAGTTAATCATTCATCCGGTTCCCTATTATTAAAGTTAAACACATGGTTTGGAGGAGGCCCCTTACCAGTCATACCCTCTTTAAAAGTATCACTCATCACTTTCTCTTGTTGCTTTAGAAAAAATCTGGAGTCATCGAAATTAAGGGTGGCAAACTTCCAACTGTGTCTGCCAAGAGTCGCGAGGTCTTGCAAAACTGGAACCACAGCTGCTTCGAGGATAAGATACGCCTGCTGTTGGCTCTCTGGTTCAAACAAACAAACGAACAAACAAGCACACACAAACACCAGGACGTGTGGTTACATAATACACATTTAGATGTGAATGCAAAAATATTTGAATCTCCCACAACAGAGAATTGAGATCACACAATTTTTACTTCATTTGACTGAGCTTTGCTAACCAGACATTTGCTTTACATGGACACTAGGTGGCACCATTGTTTTTCCCCTAAAAAGAAATCTATCTGATTTCACTCCAATAGAAATTCTGCAATAGAAATATTTTATTTCCAAAGTCCTAATAATGGCTAAGGTTTACTTTATATCACCCATTTAATCATGCCATGTCTAGGAATTAGCATTGCCATTTAAAGGGGAGGAGGAGCGGGAGATCTCTATCTCTGCTCTTTCTAGGATTATTATTATTATTTAATAAGAGCCTCCAATAGTGCAATGGGTTAAACCCTTGTGCCGGCTGAACTGCTTGCCGAAAGGTTGGTGGTTCGAATCTGGGGAGCAGGATGAGCTCCCTTCTGTCAGCTCCAGCTTCTCATGTGGGGACATGAGAGAAGCCTCCCACAGGATGGTAACATCTTGGCAACGTCTCTGCAGATGGCTAATTCTCTCACACCAGAAGCGACTTGCAGTTTCTCATGTCGCTTCTGACACAATAAAAAAAATGGACATTGAAGATAAAGGTGAGCAGATATGATTGGACTGCAATCAATTGCAATCAATTGCTCAACAACCACTATATTGGCTAAGGATGATCCAAGTTGCATTACAACAACATTTGAAAGACCACAGATTGCTATTATACCTGTATTATCCCCATGGAGGTATTCACTGGGGGAAATGACTAGTAAATGGGATCACATTCACTTTCCTCCATTGCACTCTGTTTAGTTACCTCCTGCCCATATATCAGTGTGTGAAAGAGACTGATGAAATTGCCATTTGCAGACTGTGCAGATGGCAAAGAAAGGTTTCTTTATATAGGTCTCTCTGCAGGCAAACCATCAGGCCTCTGCAGGCCTCTGTGCAAATATAACAATCCAGCGTGTGAATCCTGTGAATGCTGTGAGGAGAACGGTAAACTGAATTCTAACCCTACCACTACTTCTGGTTGTGATAGGGAACTTCTCTCTATAGAGGAGATATACTGATGCCATTTTTTTACTGTTTGCTCATCTTACAGTTTCACTACAAGCACAGTTTAAGAAGACATTCACATAGGACATCGTCTTCCTAGAATTCTTCAATATAAATAATCACAGTGTGTCATAAAAGGGGAAATTACATACTGTGTCAATAGTTTTTAGATGTTCTTCCTTCCTGGCAATTCTTTTTTGTACAGACTTTTCTTGGGCAGGATCTAGAGCAGGCTCTAGGATGGACTGTGAACACTACTGATGATGGATTTGGACCAGATTTCGCACACATATCCATCATGACCAATGTAACATATTTTGGGGGGTGGGGGTTGGGGGGTGACTGAACTGGGATGATGGGAGTTGTAGTAGACCCACATCCAGAGAGCACTGTGAACCCTACCAACAATGGATCTGGATCTAACTTCGCACTCATACCTAACATGACCAACTTTTAGTACTGTACTGGTTTGGGGGCAATGACAGAGGATGATGGGAACTGTAGTTTACCATACCCTTATTTTCTAATGGGACCATTCATAAAACTCAAACTCAAACAATGACTAATTCTGTTTATTCTTACAAAATACCTAACATGAGTATCACTGGGTACCTTGTCAATTCATACACATTGGTTTATTACTGTCATTTTGAGAACAACCTCAAAACAATCTTACCTATTCTGTTGCTTACTAGATGTGATGGGCTACACCTCCTATCGATTCCAGGCAGCACAACCATTGGCTACACTGGATGGAGATGATGGAAGCTGTAGTTCACCATTTTGGAGGCTGCTTGGATGGAGAACATGGCTCTACAATATACCCAATATTCTCCTGATACTAGATGTTACAGAGAAAGACTGCCCTGTTTGACTTTGCATTATCTTCACACTGAAACACTAGAACAGACTCTGAAAAACACAAGATCCCATCACACACAAAAAGAAGCATTTAATTACCGAGTGCCTTAAAATATACATTACCTGATGGTTTAATTTCAATGGAGATAGTTGCTTCATTGTCTTTGGTTTGCTTTTCTGTAAGGACTGCCGTTTTAAGGGCAATAGGACTGTCGTGAGTTTCAGATGCTGAGCTCTCCTCCTTAGCATTTGGAGCTTAAAAGAATGATAATAGCACAAGTATTAAAACTAGATAACAGCCCCTTAATGTGCTCTAATGCCTGTATATTTTTACTTCTCAGAGGAATTATTACAATCTGTAACTGAATGGTAGAAAGGTGATTTCCTGGCTCCTTAAACATCAACTTAGCCTGATTCAGTCAGGGATGGCTTCAGCATGACATCATATTTGTTCTTCTAATAAGTAACTTTTCAAAACACACATGATACTCACATCTCTTGCTAAATTACATCATAGCTTCTAAGCAGCCTATTCTAAGGACACTCCTTTCTCAATGTCAGGATTAAAAATGGATTAAAAATGCACGGAAGCTGGCAATTGCTTGGGTACTGTGACAATAAATGGCATACTGTAAAAGCAGGACTGTTGTACTGCCCTGAGTCCCCTTTGGGGTTGAGAAGGGTGGTATACAAATACCACAAACAAACAAACAAACACTCTTTATTGACTAGAACTCTGTCATTGTTTTGGTTATCTTTTCACTCTACCTATACATAATATGAAACCTGCAATACCCAATATTTCACCATAACAGGAACCCATAAAAAGTCTCTCTAGATCAGCATTGCTGTATGTGGTTTATCTTGATGGGCCCACATTGCCACCTTACATGTTAAAGGCTAACAAGAAAGGCACTTGACTGTAAATCACCCAGTTTTTTGGACACTCAGGGCATATTCAATCCTGGATCCTCTTATTTCTCTCTTTCATGTCAAATTATTTGCCCAAATGCCCTGATCTTTGATCTTTCTAAATATATCTGGAAAACTACATGTTCCCAAAATGAGACAGAGGACACAGATCGGGTTGTAACCTGATCTGATCATTTAACCTGAATAAATAATATAATAATTTTAAGTCCTATTGGAATGGATGTGAGGCCATATTTAGATTGTTGTACATGACGACTGCATACAGAATATTCTCATTCTCTTCAGATGTCACTTGGAGATGAGAGACTCCTCCCTGGGTACACAGAGGACTGGGCAACTTGGAAGGCGCTGAACAGACTGTGCTCTGGCACCATGAGATGCAGAACCAACCTTAAGAAATGGGGCTACAAAGCTGAGTCCTCGACATGTGAGTGTGGATAAGAGCAAACCACAGACCACTTACTACAATGCAGCCTGAGCCCTGCCACATGCACAATGGAGGACCTTCTCACAGCAACACCAGAGGCACTCCAAGTGACCAGCTTCTGGTCAAAGGACATTAAATATAATGTCAATTTTTAACTTTAAATACATTATAACTGTATTCTCAATTTGCTTCTGACACGATAAATATACATACTGGAAGATGTGACAGGCTATGGTTTTCTAGTACAGCTATACAAAGCAAAGATGTGTGTAATATGCAGTAATTTACATAGAATTGAAATACTTTCATTACTACCTCAGAGATTACTGTCAACTGCCAACTTAGTTGGAGACTGAGAAATCTCTGTTATAGAAACCCAATCTTCCTCCTCTAGCATCACAACCATTAATTGAATGGTTTATTATTGTGAAAGAATGTCAAACTGGTTTCCTTTGCAGTAGATATATATCTCTGATCATATCTGACTTGAATGAAGCATTTCCTGGTTTTTCTGGTTTTTACTGGCTTAATTATTTTATAACCTGATTTTTTTCCTTTATAAAAACCTACCTTGGGTGTGATATGTCAGCTTTAGGAAAAAGCATTTAATTTCATTGTACAATGTACACTGATAATAAAGCTACTCTATTCTATTCTAGAAACAAAAACTAAGGTATGTGAATGCAATCTGTTTTTAAAAGCACAATTAAATTGAAACTGAATAAGATGGAAGCTCTGTGGATTGGTGGTTCTCAGGTCTGGAACTGGATAAGGAGCTTGTCCTAAATGGAGTTGCACTCCCCATAAAGGAGACAATGCATAACTTGGGAATACTCCTAATCCATTTCTGTCACTGCAATGCACTCTGTGTAGGGCTGCCTTTATAAAGAAGACTTGGAGGATGCAGCTAATGCAAAATGGAGCAGCTTGACTCCTGACTGGAATACCATGTAATGTCAGACTTAAAAAAATTGCACTACCTGCCAAAACATTGAAGGTGCTTGTAATGATATTTTAAACCTCGAATGGCTTGGGACCTCCCAACAAAGGATCCCTCCAGGTAGCAATTAGCCAGGCTTTGAAGCTGCATGGCCATTAAATGCTAATCAAGGTGACCAATTGCAACATTCACCCTTGTCCCACCCTGGACTTTCCGCAGATATATAAAACCCACTTGCCTAATTTCCAACAGACCTCACAACCTCTGAGGATGCCTGCCATAGATGTGTGTGAAAAGTTAGGAGAGAATGCTTCTGGAACATGGCCATACAGCCTAGAAAACTCACAGCAACCCAGTGATTCTGGCCATCAAAGTCTTCAACAACACATTTATTCTTAGCTGTTTCATTTGATTTAATGAAAAGACTCCAATGTGGTACCATGAGATGCAGAGCCAGAAATGGGTCTACATAGTGGAGTCCGCAACATGAAAGTATGGAGAAGAGCAGACCGCAGACCACTTACTACAATGCAGTCTGAGCCCTGCCACATTCACAATGGAGGACCTTCTCACAGCGACACCAGAGGCACTCCAAGTGGCCAGCTTCTGGTTAAAGGACATTTAGCATCATGCCAAGTTTTTAACTTTGAGGTTTTTTTTATGCATTATGACTGTATTCTTAATTTGCTTCTGACACGATAAATAAATCAATCAGCCTATAGTACAGAGCATTCCACATACCACATATGGTATGTTAAAGAAACCTAGAATTATGACATTTAAGACTTCTGATAAACAGCACTTAAATTACCTTCTTTTTGAATATCCACATCATTTGTTTTCTCACTCTGGGTGATCACATGTTTTGATCTCAGCATGATGAAGTTGCTTAAAAAATCAAAATCCTCTTGATGTTTTCTGGGCAGCTCAAGAGGAATAGGCCTTTTCTTTTGTGGGGTGGTATCTGGTCCAACAGACACATCCTTAAAACCGACTAGTTGGCACTCCTCATTTTTTCTTTCTTCTTGAATCCCAAGTGATAAATGTTTTCCGATTTCTCTCCCTAATTTGGTTTCCCTGACATGATTTTCGGTAAGACTCCTGTCATCTGCTACAGCTGTATTGCATTCTGCTGATGCTGGCTCCAAGCGAAATCGAGGAATCATTTCTTTCTTTGGAGGAAACCAACAAGAATCCTTTTTTCCACTAGACTCCTGAACACCAAAAGACTCCACTGTCGTTTTAGAAAACGAAATGTTCTCTTCAAGACATTCTGGAAAGGAAACAGAAAGCTCCTAGTTTTCCATATGATTTTTTAATCTATGATTCTGTCAAATGCAACTAACTCAGACTAAATTCTATGAACAGATGTCAAAATTGCATCCCCTAATTGGGGAAAACCCCAATAATAAAATAAACAGTTCAGCAATAAAATAAGCTCTCTAGGTAGGCTATAGGATCTCCTTTCAAAGGACTGAATAAACATCTATTATTTATGTTTGTGCATTTATAATAGCTTCTTCTGTTTTACAGCAGTTGCATTTAGAAGATGTGTTCACTTCTGGGCCAAGTTCACTGTATAAACAACAGCTTGTCCCCTAGCAGAAAAGAGGCATAGAAAATAGCTCTGACTTTAGGGTAATTCACAGACTAAATAAAATAAATAAAAAATGAGGAAGTAAAGGCTTCCCTGGCACCCTCCATCCCTTGAGTTCTAGAGAAGTGTATTTATTCCCTGAGTATGAAAAAGTACCGTATATACTCAAGTATAAACTGAGTTTTTCAGCCCTTTTGTAGGATGAAAAGGCCCTCCTCAGCTTATACTCAAGACAAAGTTATTTATTATTTTACTCTGTTGTTGTTATTATTATTATTGCATTTATTATTTTACTCTATTTATTATTATTACATTTATTATTTCACTCTATTATTATTTTATTACATTTATTATTTCACTCTATTATTATTGTTATATTACCCTATTATTATTACATTTATTATTTTATTCTATTATTCTATTTATTATTTTACCCTACTATTATATTATTTTACCCTATTATTATAATAATTACTTTTATTGTTTTACTCTATTATTACTGTCATTGTTACATTTCCATTTTTATTCTATTATTATTTTTATTACATTTATTATTTTTATTATTATTACGTAGCACATTTACATTGAAGAAAGTTGGAGCAATGGTTTAATTACAGTTGGACAGTCTTATCTTAAATTACAGTTTTATGTAAATGTTCAAAAAATATTTAACCCACTGATGCCTCAGTTGATGTAATTGTATTGGTATCTATTTTTATTTTGAAATTAATCAGTAGCTGCTGCATTTCCCACCCTTGGCTTATACTTGAGTCAATAGATTTTCCCAGTTTTTTGTGGTAAAATTAGGTGCCTCGGCTTATATTTGGGTCGGCCTATACTCGAGTACATATAGTAGTTTGGAGATGTGGTTAGACCTTATTCAATACACAAACATGTGCTGAAGGATATCTGGCCACTTGCACTTTGGCAATGTATCTGCTGTTCTCAGATTAAGGGCTTTACTACATGAAGCAGGTAAATAGCAACTACAGCAGGATAATAGCACTATTGGTAGAAGCTTATTGCATGGCATTTCCCCTGTTTAATGTTATTTTCATATGCGGGGTTTCTCTGGGATTTTATGTCAGTATTTTTTTGTTTTACAAAGACATTGAATGTTTGCCATTATTATGTTGGAATCTGAATTCCCTCGGGGAGATAGGGCGGAATACAAATAAAGTTATTGTTGTTGTTGTTGTTATTCTGTTGTTCTTCCGTGTCTGGACAGCATTTTTAATACACTCAAAAAATCAGTTCATCACTTCCTTTCCTGTTATTGTCCAGCTAGGATTTCCAATGGAAAATTCATGCTCTGGATGTAGCTTTGGCATCCTTTGCTTACCAGTAATTGGGGAGAAGGAGGGGAAACTTCCATTTGATTTCCTTTCATTTAAAGTTTTCTCCTCTCTCTATGGAAAAAAACCCTCTCTGGACAAATGATCTTTCTGGAGCTTCTCAGGACCCATCTACACTGCCATGTAATCTGCTTTGGACTACATTATAATGTATTGTCGAAGGCTTTATAATGGTCAGTATAGAGTCATATAATACAGACTGAACCGCATTGAACTGGATGATATGAGTCTACACTGCCATATAATCCAGCTCAATGTAATTAATCTGCATTTTGAAACTGGGTTATATGGCAGTATAGATGGAGCCACAGAAACCTAGTAGAGAGGAATGAACAAACAAGAGGCGAAAGGAACCTAGATATTGCACACAATCCTGCAGGCTTATTCCCCATCTCTTATGCCAACTGATGGAGCCCCTGGTGGAATAAACCCTTGTGCCGGCAGGACTGCTGACCAAAAGACCAGTAGTTCAAATTCAGGAAGCAGGGTGAGCTCTCATCTGTTAGCTCCAGCTTCCCATTTGGGGGCATGAGAGAAGCCTCCCACAGGATCGTAAAACAGCTGGGTGTCCACTGGACAACGTTCTTGCAGGCAGCCAATTTTCTCACAATAGAAGTGACATTTGAGCTCGAGCGCAGCAGGGAGCCCCGCCTTCACATTGGTGTGAACTGCAGCGGAGAGTTCCGCAGTTCCTGGATCAAGCTTTTGGGACCAACAGATGAAATGTGCCCCAGCAGCCAGCTCAAAACCAGGAATGCTTGCAGTTTCACCTTGCTTCCCCCTTTCCCTTTACTTTGTATCCTTTCCCTAATAAAAGTACTTGAAACTTGCAACTTTTTATCTTTCCGCATGCTACTTTTGTATCCTTTCTTGAGTCAAACAAAATAACATTGCAATAGACTTTTTTTTTTGGGCTCCGGAGAGCCGTGAGCCCGCGGGAGGCGCCTCCGGGCGGCCCCCGGACCCCGAATCTGCGTTCGCCTAGACCGCGGATACGGAAACCGCCATTTCAGACCCCCTTATCCACGAAAATACATAAAATGGCGGATCGCCGCCGTTCCAATTTTATATTTTTCTACAACTAATTTTAAGACTAACCGCTGTCTCCCTTTTCTCGTTTTGGGCCCCTTCACCCGGGAAAAAAAGTTTTGTTTTAAGTATTTTATCTTGCAGAGAAACAGCTGATTGTCAAACTGGCCAGGCTCTTCGCTTCTCCTCGGCAGCGTTCACTCCCGCTTGGATCCAACAGCCAGAGACCCACTGCGGCCACCCGTAGGGGTCCCGGGAAGGCGGCCAGGCATGGGCCCCGGCCCCTGATCAGGGAAATGTAGTTTCCCAAAGGACATTGCCCCATCAATCACAACCCGGAAACCCTCCTTGGACACTCTTGTTTGCCCTCTCCTATTGACTTTCTGCCCCACATCCCGGACTGTTTTCTGCCACGTTTTTGGACGCAAACCTTCAGGTCAGGCTTGCCCCGATTCGCAAGAAGCCTCCGCTTCCGTGTGCCTTCACCAGGAAACCATGAATTTCTTTCATTAATAAAATAATTGAATATTTCCTTTTAATAAACTTTTGCTGGGGATGGGGTGGGATTGTCTCATGAAATGTAAAATATATGAAATGTATGTAATGGAATATTGTATGAAATGTACTCTGGTCCCCCTCCCCGCTTCCCCTCTTTGACCCTTGCCCCAAAAAGGAATGTGACCTGAGGATTACTGTGGCAGGGAGGAAATCCTTTGTCCTCCCGAAACGGTTCATATTTACATTTGCATGGGCCGTGCAGTTGATCCCTTCTCCTACTAACTTTCAGAGCAGACAGTAAGGCAGGGAAGGGTCAACAGAAACTTAGGAAGAACAGACTGATTGACTCATTTTTAGGTATTTGTTGATCCCCCTTGTTTACAAGGCCCTGAGGTCCAAATACCATCAAAAGCTCCTTTTCATACTTCCTCCCAAATCCAATCATAAACCAGGAAACTCATTGTTCCCCTATCTGTCACCCCGCCGGTGAGGACAAAAGCCTCGCATTTCAGCTGGCGGATGCCCTCTGGGCTCATCATTTCCTCTGAACTGTCAAACTTCGTCCCGCCTTCTGGCTGCCGATTGGACCATCTTCGGAGGCGCTAGGAAGGCGCTGATTGGCCCCCTGAAGGCAGCAGGGCCGGCTGATTGGACAGGAAGCGAGGCGCGCCGCCAAGCCTCCTCCCAGCTGTTCCACGACCAGCCAATCAGAGCGAAGCCGGCCGGCAGAGGGCGGGCGGGATTTTTGAAAATGTTTCCTTTGTTTGTACGCTATAAAAATGCCTGGAAATTCTGTAAATGCATGCTTGTATGTGAATGATCACTGCAATCGCATCCTTTTCAGCTGAATCGCAGAAATAAACGCCTCGGTCACTGAACCTCTTCAGCCTCCGGTGAGATTGATTTTTAATATTTTTCGTTCTTTGGATTGGCTTTCGCTGGCTGCTCACCGAGGTCAAAGGACCCCTTTAGCGGTCTTCAGGGATCTCTCCCGCTGGGAGACCCCCCCACCAAAGAGCTCGATATCACTTGCAGTTCCTCAAGTCGCTCCTGACATAACCCCCTCCCCCCAAAAAAGCCACCTGAAAATGTATTATTACATTTTCAGTTTGTTAACTGAAGTGAGAATTCTGTTTAATCAGTTCATGTTGTTATTATTCTCTGTGAAAAAACATCTAAAGGAATCCAAAGTACTTACTGTCTAACTGAGAGCGAGGAATTTTTGTGAATGCCTCTCCATGAGAACAAACTAGTTCTTTTCCATCACTTAAATTTGTGCTAAAAGCTTCCAAAATACATGGTGAAGCCATTTTCTCCCATAAATTAATCCATCCATCTTCTTCCAAGGAGCTAAATACTGAGATGTCTTTGTGCACAAACAACAGTGTTTTCAGTTCAGTAACTGGAAGATATTCACACAGAGGTACAAAATTCTGATGGTCTATGGAAAAGGGGACAAAATGCAATACAATCTATCAATAGAAAACAGTATATATTTTCCTTGTGGACTCCTGTGGATATATGTTTGCATTTGGCTAGCAGCCTAAAAATTACACCATGTCACACAATTTTTGTTCCTGAGTTATAAATGCATTTTCTAATTGGGTCTAACTTTGGGTTGCTGTGAGTTTTTTGCCATTTTCACAGCATATTTTTTGCTAATGCAGATAACCTTTCTGTGATACAGGGAAAGTAGAGTTCCCAGTTAGCTGGATATTACTTATCTTTCCTTGTAGAGATACGGAGCTGACTGACAATGTAACCTTAAAGATAAAGGTTTCCCCTTGACATTAAGTCTAGTTACATCCAACTCTGGGGTGGTGGTGCTCATCTCCATTTCTAAGCTGAAGAGCCAGCATTGTCCATAGACACCTCCTAGGTCACATGGCTAGCATGACTGCATTGTTACCTTCCCACCAGGGCGGTACCTACTGATCTACTCACACTTGCATGTTTTTGAACTGCTATGTTGGCAGAAGCTGGAGCTAACAGCGGGAGCTCAACATGTCCCACAGATTTGAACCACCAACCTTCTGGTCAGCAAGTTCAGCCACTCAGTAGTTTAACCCGCTGCTTCACCGTGACCCCTCAATGTAATCTTACATATGTCTAAATCCCATTGAATTCAACTATTTCCAGATAAATTTGTTCCTGAACACATTTACTTGGAACTTAGTCTTACTTTTATTTTAAACATATCTCAGCAAATATTCCCTTTGAGGATGAAATAACACATTATACAAACAATAACATTCCCTATAGTGTGTTACTTTGCAAATGAAGGCAAGGACTTAAAAAAAGTTATCGCATGAATGGTACTATCACATTGGCTTGAACAATCAATTTCTATTTCTAAATAAGTACCAAAGGTAACAATTTACTTTAAATGCTGCATTGCGAATCTCCAATATTCTTAAATTTCATAGAACTGTCCATCTAAAATGTGAAATGAACGTAAGTTTAGAAACAGGAATTGTAAATATTTACCTGCAAGTAAAAGGGAATTCATAGGATGTTGATATCTCTCTGAGTTCCACATAAGGTTTTCTAAGTTTTCTACAGTGGATTTTGAAATCAAATCACTAAGAAAAAAGAGAAAAAAATACTCCCAGCTAAAAACTTCTGTGCCCTAATTCCAGCGTTATTTTAAAATATATTTCTATATAGTAGTGACTTCTCCCATCTCATTTTTACTTGCCATACAAATATTTTCTGAGAAAATATTAGCACATATGAACTTATAAATATTTGGCAGCAGGAAGAAAACTAAAATTATTTGTTCTCCCCTATTGGAATAAGTGATTCAATATAGCAAATCTTGCCTAGCAACCAAGTTGAAATACTTCAAAATAAGAACATGTAAAAAAGGATGGAAGAAAAAAGGATATGAAAGATATGTAGTTAAAGAGGGAATTCCATCAATAATAATAATAATAATAACAACAACAATATAATAATAATAATAATAATAATAATAATAATAATAATAACCACTTTATTTGTATTCCACCCTATTTCCCCAGGGGGACTCAGGGCAGATTTCAACATACAAAAAAGGCAAACATTAAATAAATAAATAAATAAACAAACAAACATTCAATACCTTGATAAAACAAACAGGTACCGATAAAATAATCCAGAATAACCCCACATATAAGCATAAAATTCGAACCTAACATCAATAACTTAAACAAAACATAAGAAAACAAAATTATATAACGACATAAAATCTAAACACAAAACATCCATATTGAATTACAGGGGCCTACCAAAGTTCACAAAGTAATATGGGTTGATTGTGTGGCCAATGATGACCGCAGAGCCAACATGGACCAACATCAAAGGCAACATCATCATCAAAAGATGCCTGTCTTGCCTCCATCCAAATGCACAGGTCAGCAGAAACCTACAAATTTACTCAGGACTAATGAAACTTGGTTGCTCTTTTTTCCAGAAACTATAACAGTGAATAGTTTAGCACCTCCAGTTTATTTTTGGACCAAGCAATTATGTGGCTCACTCATATTTTATTGATTTTGATCATTCACGTGTTTTACTTCACTACAGCTTTCTGTTACCTTTTATCAAAGGGAGAAACTGGCTCTGTTTGTAGCTGTGTCCACAATAAACTAACATGCAACTTCTCAATTCTCTTTGGTGGTGTCAGTGGTACCTCCAGCTCTGTAGAATGCAACAAAGGATAACTTGCTGCAAATTAAACAGAACATAAAATGTTCCACATTAGGAAGGAAGCCATTAGACTGAGATTACATTTGAGACTAATTAGTGCATCACAAGAGACTAGGACATGGAACAATGGATTCAAACTGCAGGGGAAAAAATTCCATTGGAATATTAGGATGGTAAGAGTTGTTCAGGAAAGCATGTTGCCTTGGTCCATGGAGGCATCTCCTTCCTTGGAGGATATCCAGCAGAGGCTGGATGGCCATCTGTCGGGAATACTTGATTGTGTGTTTCTGCATGCCAGGAGGTTGGACTGGATGGCTCTTAGAGTCTCTTCCAGTTCTATGATTTTATGAAGAAAGTACTTGCGGCATCAGTTTGTAGAATTTATGCCTCACTTGCCAAAATAACTTGGCTGATTTTGGATAACATGCACCTCAATTTGAGTATAATCATCATCATCATCATTTATTTATTTATATGTATATACATGTGTGCTGCTATTTGCTGCTGATGAACTATCTTGGGGCCAAAACCAATGCCTCTTTAGAAGGGTCTTACCTTCCTCACTGAATTGTAGCATACTGTTATTCTTATTGGCATACATGTCCTGTGTGGAGCAACAGTCGGATATCCCCATTTTCTCTGGTGTAATTTTTGCTTTGAAGTCTAGAAAGACATTAACATGAAACCTAAACAACGGTTTACTTCTCTAGAACACATTGATTGATTCTCAATATTAGTTTTACATTTGTTACAAAAAGCAGTGATAAAACAATGAACCTCACCACCATAAAACCTGAAAAATTGTGCTGTAATGCCTTTTACTGTATGCTTACCATCAGTGGTGATCTTGAGACCTTCATTTTCATTTCCTGTAACTACTGGGGTTACTTGGAATAAAGATTTCAGCGCCAAATATGTAGGAATCTCACTCTGCAGCCTGAAGTCTGCTGCTTTGTAAAATGGTAACTGAATAGGAAGTACGTGCGTCTAGCAAGAAAAATAATGTATTTTTGTCAAAACATATTTAAGAATCTTTTTATTACAGTGTCAAAAATGAAGATTATAAGAGTATGAAACAATAACTTGTATTAACCATCATGGCTGGGTTGAGTCACTGCTCCAAAGAACTGAAGGGTATTTGTTGTTGGGTAAACTCTCATCATCCTCTGTCAACCCCCCCCCCCCAAAAAAAAACCCGCTTAGCGGTATTTTAAGTTCGTCATGATGGGTATATGTGCCAAGTTTGGGCCAGATTCATCGTTGGTGGGGTTCATAGGGCTTCCTGGATGTAACTGTACTACAACCCTCATAATCCTGGGGCAATAACCTGCAAACCACGCCAGTATTTTAAGGTGGTCACGAGGGATCCAGTAACATGGAAGAAAGGAAGCAAGATTTTGACTGACTCACCTTGCAGGCTCTGAAAACACCTCACATATTGTTCTGGAGGGTACTCACTCTTTCAGAAAAAGATTCAGGGGCATAGGAGACTCGTTTTATCCACCGATGGATCTAGATCACATGTGTCAACTGCAAAGCCCATGGGCCAAATCTGGCCCACCGTTTAATTTTATGTGAGCCGTGAGGCTTTTAATGCCAAGTCAGCATAGTTGCATTTATAGAATCTTAAAATTACAACTTTGAATGCAAGCATAAGGCTAGCGTGGCCCTTGGTAAAAGTGAGCTTATGACACCTCTGATCTAGACTAAAGTTTAACGTACCATATATATATCCGAGTATAAGTCGAGTTATTCAGCTCTTTTTTTTAGGCTGAAAAAGCCTCCCTCAGCTTATACTAGAGTGAAATCTTACACTGTTATTATTATTTTTATTAATTTTTTATTTTACTCTATTATTATTATTATTATTATTAGTATTATTAGTATTACTACTACTACATTTACATTATGTTACTCTGTTATTATTTTTATTACATTTCTTATTTTACTCTATTTCTTATTATTACATTTATCATTTTAGTCTATTTATTATTATTACATTTATTATTTTATTCTATTATTACTGTTATTACATTAACATTATTTTACTCTTATTCTTTTTATTACATTTATTATTTTACTCAATTATTATTGTTATTATTACATTTACATTATTTTACTCTATTACTATTATTGGAAGGATACATAAACACATTTACACTTAAGGTTAGAATAATGGTTTAATCAGAGTTGGACAGTCTTATCTTAAATTACAGTTTTATGCAAATATTCAAAAACATTTAACTTACTGATGCCTCAATGTAATTTTATTGGTATCTATTTTTATTTTTAAATTTCCCAGTAGCTGCTGCATTTCTCACCCTTGGCTTATACTCGAGTCTATATGTTTTCCTGTTTTTTTGTGGGAAAATTAGGTGCCTCATCTTTTATTCAGGTTGGCTTATACTCAAGTAAATAAGATACTTAACCAGAATTTTTTGGGGATGTAGAAGAAAGAGCATGAGAAAGAATTAAAAGAGGAAAAAATCAACTGCCTCAGCTGACTCTAGAAGAAAGACATTAGGGGCCTCGGCTTATGTTCTGGTCGGCTTATATGCAAGTATATATGGTATGTATATCGCATCCATTAGCACAGAATCATAGTAAATCTTATCATCCCTGCACTCAGAATCCATGTATCTTTTCAGACTGGTTTTTCCTGAACAAAGGCAGAGAAGTCATGTGGCTAAACATGATCAATAGCCAATCTCCCCACCTTCTTCCTGGCAATGTGAATGTCATTAGTGATGTCTGCATAATGCACCTATGACAGTCACTAAGTCATACGGAAAACTGCGGCTGGATGGGAGAGGTGAAAGTAGTGACAGAGAGATGATCTATCCCCTTCCAATGCAATAATGACCACAAGGAAAAGGGGATGACGGCAATGCCCCATATGGACAATGGACCAGTCAATGCTGAGGCTGATCCTGCTGCCACATTACCCTGAAGCTATAATGTTACTCTGGAGTTTCAGGCAAACTCTGGAGCACCCCCACCTTTTACTAATGAGAGGATAATCCAGATTAACTCATGATTCTCAACAGAAGTGGAGAAACTTTGTGTAGACAGCTAGGAGCAAACTCAAGGTGAGTCTTGGGTTATGATGCTCGTGTAGATGAAGTAAGCTCCATCATGTGCATGTACAACTACTGTGCACATTCACAAATCCAAATGTTGCCGGGAAAATTTTGAAAAAAAGGGAGACCTTATTCTGTTTGGGAGTAAATGTTACAACTACCTTTTCTCCACTTCTGCCCAGCCTGCAGTCCTTGTCAATGGTTACTGGGGAAGGCCTGAAAAGTAGTTCTCACAATTGCTACAACAGAGTTCAGCAAGACAACCTTAGAGAAAAAATATCTAAAAAGAAATTTACGGTCCTTCCACACTGCCCTTTATCCCAGGATCTGATCCCAGATTATCTGCTTTAATCTGGAATATATGAATCTCCACTGCCAGATAACCTAGGATAAACAGATAACCTGGGATCAGATCCTGGGATAAAGTGTGGAAGGGCTCTCAGTATCAACAGATGACTTTGGCCCCATCTACACCGACCATTTTATGCAGTTCAAAACTAGCTTCAAACTGTGGTGATAAGATAACAAACAGCTACAAAAGCTTGCAAATGAAAGCTCTTCATGTGCATCAGTGCTCTGTGGTTCGTGTAATCACAATCCAAGCTTCAAAATGATCCCAGCTAAACTGTTTTCTTCAATATCAGTTTGAAACGGCATTAAATTATCAGTGTAGATAAGTGTTCTTTTAAAAAAGAAGAATTATCCAGCTGAGGAAGCTGATGGGACACTTGAGGCTTCCGATCCCTAATAAACTGACAATCAGTGTTAATACCTCATTCCACAGTCATGAAACGATTATTTCAAATTGTTTAGGATTAGATAGAAATGTTCTGCCTCTTAATAGAGGTTAATGTTTACAAAATTATATTACTTGCAAACAGTTTGGGCACACAAAGAAAAAACCCCCACATATTTTGGGACTGTTGCTCACCTGGAAAAATAACCTTGGTGGGGAAATCTCACCAGCCAACCCATATAGGCAAATTTTGCACAAAATTATCAACATTATCAGCATACTCTTGTTTACACCCCTAGTTTTCGTAAGACAATTGTGGCACAAAATATATTAAATAAGGGATGATCAAAAGCATGTGTTGATCTTTGGAAGCTAGGTAAATTGTTTTAAATATGGCTTGTATACATTTCAATTAGGAAAACAACTGCATAGTGATCTGACATGTTACATATAATTCAGTGAATCAGTGACATACCTCTTCATCCTTTATAGACACTTTGCAAAAATTCTCGCGTGGTTCTTCCCTGACAAGGACTGTCACACTCCTTTTGAAAGTAAAACACTCCCTTTAAAAATCAAAATCATATGTTAATTTTTATTTTGTTTGGCGGTTTATGACTTAATCACCATGTTATGGTTTTCCCCTTGAAGTGCCAGTTATGCATGCTACTCTGATGTTTATTTTAAGCTGGAAAAGTGTCACTTCTTAATTGTTTCATTTAAAAAAACCTGGCAGTGTAGCAGTAGGAGGGAAGCACTAGATACAAGCAAGTTTTAGAAGAAGATATGGTGGGAAAGCATCAGTATTCTTAGGTGAAAATATTGCTGTGGAATCCTGTAGTTTGGTGAGGCATCAGCACTCTTTAGCAGAGAAGGCTAAAGCTTTGTAAAACTACATCCATAATATTGAGCCATGGCAGTTAAAATGATGTCAAACTGCATTAACTCTACAGTATAGATGTGTACTAATTCTCATGAAATTCAGTGGAATGTAGGCTAAGCTAGTACACATAAAACTGCAGCAGATAATACAATTCCAAGTTAAAGATATACATATTATTTACTAGCTGAACTGCCCTTCTGTTAGCTGAACTGCGTTTATGTATATGTACGAGAGTAGGTCGGCAAGTTTTGCCTCCTGTGTCATAAAAATGTTATGAATAACAGCAGAAGTTGCTGAAGATCATAGCCTGAACTATCTTCTGCACAAAACTACTGTTCAACATAGTAACCATCAATTTGTACACATTTGCGCCATCATTTAAGCCAGGCATCAAAACCATTTTGGAAAAATTCAGGGTTTTGCTTTGTGACCCATGGTTTTAACGTCGTTCAAGTCATTGAATCTGAAACCACAAAGGTTGTCTTTTTGGACAAAATGGTTTCATAATGTTTTTTTATGACACAGGAGGCAAAACTTTTTGACCCACCTGTGTATATGCTATCTGAGATTATTTGATAGAAGACTCAGAGAAAGAGCAGAATTAGGGCAGATCCAAGATAAGCCAGATCCAAACCTCACCAACCAAGAGATACAATCATTATGCCTGCATAATATGATAAGGCTCAGGATCATCCTAAATAATTTCCAACATCCCTGGCTGAGAGAGGTTTGATTCAACACAATTTCGATGACCTTCAGCCACTCTCTTGGTGGTTTAGAAATGTGTACTTAATCACCAGCACAATCTGGACAAAGCAGTCGATTTAATTCCCTCTCCTTGTTCTGTAAGTAATTTAACTGTCATATTCATATGGAACTGAAAACCAGGATGTTTGAAAAACCAAGCATGTTCTGTATGAGCTGTGTGCTGATACACACTGCATGTTTGTTCCTGTTAATATGAACAGCTAAACAAACATGCCTTGGTTTGTTTAGTTTTTGTCCAACCTGGGATAGTGACTTATTGCTCCCAAACACTTACAAAGCGTGGAGCAATATGCCAGGATCTCTGGTATAACATGAATTGCTTGTATTAAATCATTACTGTTCAGCTGCTTGCACTAATCCTATCTGCAGGACAATCAGAGGAAGTCAGAATTTACCGGAATCCTTCCTTATTATGACACAAAATCAGGTGACATAAATATATGCCAAAACATTATTTGGCTTAAAGTTTCCCACATTTGGCAGGTCAAGGTCCTATCCACCAACAACTATAAAAAAAAAGTAACAAAACAGTTCAGTGGCAGATATTAAGCTATTGAAAGTAATGCAACGCCAAGCTATATGATACCTGAATATTTCTTCTTCTGTGATATGATCACCATTCGGATTTAAAAGGGGGTCCTCAATAAAGAAAATGTTCAGACGGTTCAAGAGTGTTTGCAGAGTTGGTAACCATTTACTATATTGCGTCAAGCAGTCAGTAAAAACAAGTTCATCTTCAATATATAAACCTTTAAAGAAATTGAAAATCCAAATACAATATAAGGTAAAGGGAAAGGTTTCCCCTGACATTAAGTCTAGTCGTGTCCAACTCTGGGGTGTGGTGCTCATCTTCATTTCTAAACCAAAAAGCCGGCGTTGTCTGTAGACACCTCTGGGGTCATGTGGCTGGCATGACTGCATGGAGCATCATTACCTTCCTGCCGGAGTAGTACCTACTCAAAATTGCATGTTTTTGAACTGCTAGGTTGGCAGAAACTGGACCTAACAGTGGGAGCTCACCCTGCTCTCGGATTTGAACCGCCAACCTTTCGATCAGTAAGTTCAGTAGCTCAGATATTTAACCCATTGCATCACCAGGGGGCCATGATTCAAGATACATTTCCCCTTTTAAGCTTCAATTTTAGAAACTAATGAATTTTGCTGACCAAAAGGTTGGTGGTTCGAATCCGGGGAGCAGGGTGCGCTCCCGCTGTTAGGTCCAGCTTCTGCCAACCTAGCAGTTCGAAAACATGCAATTATGAGTAGATCAGTAGGTACCGCTCCAGCAGGAAGGGAGTGGTGCTCCATGCAGTAATGCTGGCCACATGACCTTGGAGGTGTCTACGGACATTGCCGGCTCTTCAGCTTAGAAATGGAGATGAGCACCACCCCACAGAGTCAGACACAACTAGACTTAATGTCAGGGGAAACCTTTACCTTTATCTATCTTGAATCATAAATTCCTTTTGGCTAAAATTAAAGCTCTAAAAAAGGGGTGTGTGTCTTGTAACCAGCATCCCAGATGTGGCAAAATATGGAATTCATATTGGACACTATATAACATTGCCAGAATTAAAACTGGAGAGACTTTGTAGCTTTAATGACTGCTGCATGCCAAGCAATTTCCTCTCTTACACAGGAATCTCCAGTAAAGGTCAAGGACCCATTTCCAGTTTTCAGTCTGGCAACCCTAGCTTCACACAGCATAACAAAAGCCACAATTGTTTGTGATTTTGAGTGATAATATGTTCAAAGAAAAAGCTTGTAGAAATGCAGGCCAACTGGATGAGTGTTCTTTACTTTTTCTTTCTTTCTGATAAATAGGGCTGCCAAATTAGGAGCATTCCAGGCTCTCAGATTTCAGATCCAAAACCTGAGATGCAAGCACAGCCCCTGTGAGGTCAAGGGGGGCAGACTGTGGAGAAGTCATTGAGCATGATACATTAAGCATCAATCAATATTTATCTGCTTTGAAATGAAGTTTCTCAACTTTGTATTCAGGAGAAAATAAAACTGAATTTTCCCCATCTCTGTTTTGAATATTTTTGTAAACACTGATTTGAACACATAAAGTTACTCTCACATTTTAAAAACTTTAAAATTTAACATATCCAATTTTATGGGTATCTATTTTTATTTTGAAATTTACCAGTAGCTGCTGCATTTCCCATTTTTTGTGGTAAAATTAGGTGCCTCGGCTTATTTTCGGTTCACCTTAAACTCAAGTGTATATGGTACTTAACCAGAATTTTTGGGGATTAGGAAGAAAGAGCATGAGAAAGAATTAAGAGAGGAAGGAATCAACTGCCTCAGCTGACTGTAGAAGAAATACATTTGTATCACTTTTTAAAAATTAAAAATGGTGCCATCCATGACATGTATGCCTCAAACCAAGAAAGGAAAATGTTGTGATTGTGAAATCATTTAGGTTACAAGGATGAAGTTATGAATGAATGGGGAAAGCCACAAAGCATCAATTAAGCTGCCTGGAATTTTTTTGGGTGCCAGGCTGCACAGACAAAAATGCAAAGCACATATCACTTACCTTTTCCTTGCTCTTTAACTAATACTGGAGCAGAACCAGACTGCAAATCACTCGCAGAAATAAATTCTTGCTTCTCACCATCCTTTGTAAGCATATATGCCTCTTCTATATCACACTGCGAACATGGATTTGAACTTGGGACAATTTCAATATCTTCATTATGAATGTGGAAGCAAGTGCTTGAAATGGGTTTCCTGAAGATGGGAAAGTTAATCTGTTTAGTACATTCAAGTAAATTGGGCAACTACCCTCATTTATTTATGATAATTTGTAGACTGCATTTTATAATAACTCCTTTATGCTATTTGGGCAGGGGGTCTAACAAACCCACCACTGCCCCATCAATTATAATATCCAGGCAGATGGCAATGCGATCAATCCCACCATCTACCCCTAATCATAAAGGCAGTCTTTACGGCCAAACAATATGACTGGACAGGGGGCAAACAGRTCCCAACACTGTCCCTCCTTTAATAAGGAATTCACACCACTTTGGCTCYTATAGCGTTTGCGGGGATGTCTCTTTATTAAAACCTTCGCTGCCACCATAAACCAAATAATCAGGAACTAGGAGAAATGCCTCTAGAACATGGCCATATAGCCCGAAAAAACCCACAAGAACTGAATCAGGAACCCTCTAGYTATTTAAAGATACTGGAAAGGCTTTTCTAGGACCACCAAACACTGTRTATTAACAAAGGCTTMTTTGAGGGAAAACAGGTGAGGTTGAATTAAAAAGAAAAGGGACTGAAACCACAAAGGGCACTTGACTCAGGCTTAAATTTTAAAAATAACAAGAAAGGTTTATTGAATACAAGTTACAGAATAAAGCGAATGCAGTTGTAGAGGCTTGGCTGTTACAATTAAAGTGTTCTTGGTTCTTAGAAGCATAACGGTTGCTTTGAGCGAAAGGTTCTATTCTTTGTTACAATTCCTAAACAAAACTCAGCTATTTCTCCTCTAAAATAGCTGAAACCAGTCTGCCACAGCCTACTTTGCTGTGCAAACTACAGGCAAGCTGCCTATTTCCCAACAGAGACTCCTAAAACTCTAATCCTACTCTAACATCACCCAGAACTGAACTCCCTGTCAAACTAAGCTTCTCTCTTTTCCCTCCAACTGTCTAACTCCTCCCCCCTTTTACAAACCAATCCTGGCTGTTGCTGGGCTGGCTCACGCCTAGGCCACTCCCCCTCTCTGAACTGGAGCTTTTCCCTAAACTAAGATGGCTCCTGCATCTCTCTGCCAGGCCTTCTAAGCTGAAACTACCTAGCCTATCTCTTCCTAGGCCCTGCCACCCCCGGCTGGCAAGGTAAGGGATCTTCACACATTTCACCTAATATGAAACCTAAGGTGACTTACATAGATTAGAGCACAATGCTGCTAAAAACTAATCATTTCAAAACTATCACATTAAAAGAGCCATAATTTAAAACAAAATAAAACAAAATTACTGTATTTCACCGTGTAATACTCATTATGTGCCCTGTTGATGCTTGTGATTTAAAATATGTTCTGATTAAGCCAGTGGTGTTTCAGAGTTAAGTACCAGCATCCAAATGTTTGTCAACTTTACTCCCTCTAAGCTGCACATATCCAAATTAATTTTTGTGATGTTAAGGAGGTGGTGCAGTTGGTTAAACCGTTCAGTGTTAAGGAGGAGCCCCCAGTGGGGCAGTGAGTTAAACCACTGAGCTGCTAAACTTGCTAACTGAAAGGTCGCTGGTTCGAATCCAGGGAGCGGTGTGAGCTCCTGCTGTTAGCCCCAGCTTCTGCCAACCTATCAGTTTGAAAACATGCAAATGTGAGTAGATCAATAGGTACTGCTCTGGCGGGAAGGTAAGGGCGCTCTATGTAGTCATGCCAGCCACATGACCTTGGAAGTGTCTATGGGCAACGCTGGCTCTTTGGCTTAGAAATGGAGATGAGCACTAACCCCAGAGTTGGACACGACTAGACTTCATGTCAGGGGAAAACCTTTACCTAAGGAGGTGGAGGTGGGAAAAGATTTAGAGATCCATCCCAAAAGTTTGAAAAAGAAAAAGAGGACACCTTTTTCCCATTTTTTAAAATAACAATTCCCTTTCTCCTTTTCCTTTAAATTTCCTCTTGCAATGAAATGGAGAAGTTAACCCAATATTAGTGGTAGCCTGTCAATTAATGGCTTTGATTAAGAAGTCTGCTGGTGATGCAAGAAGTCTTTGGAACCAGCAAATCCAAGGATTCTCCTGTCACAAATATCTCATAATGCTCTGGAAAACTATACTTTGGTCTCTACCATTGGGCTTACAGACTCGACTCCTACATCCACAGAACGTTCCAAAGGCATATTGGGGACCTTTGATGAGATCACAGTGGATATGATGTCCTGCCTTTCTAAATGAACTGATCTAAAGACCATGCCTCTTGCTTTTTAATTTGCCTGCTTTACTGACTTTGCCAGTTACTATTACAGCTTGTCTGAAACTTAATTTACTTGACTCCCTAAGTAAACTCTTGGCTTAATAACAGTAATGTCAGCAGAAAGTCAATATGATCTTTAGAATTAAGTAAATGCAAGAGACAAGAAGAACCAAGGTCAACCTATGAAAAGCATTAATTGAATCTATGTGGTGTACAAAAATAGCATGTCTCTCATATCAGCTGAAATAAAAGCACCTGGAAACATGAAGATGAAAAACAGCTAATCTAAATGTTAAGAAAATTATTTTATACATTCTGATTATATTTCTTTTTCTATTGAGTAATCTTTTTTGAAAATCCATTAAAGTGTCTTAATTACATTTTAAAAAACAAGGTCATCGTATGATTTGTCTGTCCGTCTTATTTAAGAGTAAACACATAGCTTCAATGGCTAAAACGTTATGATTTCATCCTTCATTTTGGATAAATGAAGTGTATTAAAGTTTTGCTTGCTTTGTAGATTACAAAGCAAATATATTAATTGTTGTTTCTGACCCACAATGACTTTAACCTACCACAGAGGTTTCTTGGCAAGATTCATTTAGAGAGGTTTTTCCTTTATATTTTTCTAAAGATGAGAAAGTGTGATGTTTCCAAGGTCAACCAGTGGGTTTCCCTAGCTGAGCAGGGATTTCAAATCCTGGTCGACTCACAGTCAAACGCACAAACCATTAAATCACATTGGTTCCCAAACAATGGCACTCACTCAATAATGGAAAATTCTCATTCTCATAGTATACAGGCAATCCCTAAGTTATGAACAAGATAGGTTCTGTAGGTTTGTTCCTAAGTTGAATTTGTTCATTTCTCAGCCAAAGAGCCGGTATTGTCCATAGACACCTCTTAGGTCATGTGGCCAGCATGATTGCATGGAGCGGCGTTACCTTTCCGCAGAAGCGGTACTATTGATCTACTCGCATTTTCATATTTTCGAACTCCTAGGTTGGCAAAAGCTGGGGTTAACAGTGGTAGCTCACCCTACTCTCCGGATTCGAACTGCCAACCTTTTGGTCAGCAAGTTCAGCAGCACAGTGGTTTAGCCCACTGCGCCACCAGGGAGCCCAGTTTGTTTTGCTATCTCTGCCCCAGTTCAGAAGATTTAACTGGACTTTCCGTTCCTATGATAATTGGATTTTGAAAAAATTGGCTTGTTGTGGAAAAAAGGACTTCCAGGAGTGGATTTCTCTTCCAAGGGGGAAATTTCTCTCACTATGCGTTGTTTGTAAGATGTTTGTAATTTGGGGAATGCCTGTACTTAGACAAAATGAAAATGTTGAAGGATGATAGAAGGCACCGTCTAGCAACATCTGGAAAATTATGAGTTCCCTATTGCTTCTGTAAGACTCATGTGAATGTTGGAACAATGGTCTCACCAAGATGGTAAATATGATGGGAAAAGCAAAACTGCATCTTGCCCTTCATAATCAAGTCTGCCTGGGCTCGCCCATTGTGGTGTAATGCAATTGAACACATTTAGATCCAGACTGCATGGGCAATTTTTGCGTTATCTGTGGGATATTGTTTGAATGTTCCAGGCCAGCATGTATTGGATTTGCACGTGTAGGCTCTATGCAAACATATGTAGCAGACTGAAACGTAAAGTAGGTATTCTTGTGACGGATGTAAAAATACTTTTATACTCAACACTAATGTCTGCTTGTGTAGAAAATGAACCAAAAGCAGACCATATAATTTGAAAGGTCCTTGACATTTTTCCATTATGGGCCTTATCACACTAGAGAATGAATTCACTTTAAATCCGGTTGCTACCTCCTGCAGAATTCTGGGGTTTGTAGTTTAGGAAAGAGCTTTTGATAGCCTCATTAAACTATAAATCCCAGAATTCTGTAGAAGGCAGAAACCGGATTTTAAGTGCATTTATTCTCCAGTGTGATGAAGTTTAAATGAGGCTGTTCCCACCACAAACAAAACACAAGAATGTATTGTCGAAGGCTTTCATGGCCGGAAGCACTGGGTTGTTGTAGGTTTTTTCGGGCTATATGGCCATGTTCTAGAGGCATTCTCTGCTGAAGTTTCACCTGCATCTATGGCAAGCATCCTCAGAGGTAGTGAGGTCTGTTGGTCATTTTCCTAGTTCCAGCAGACCTCACTACCTCTGAGGATGCTTGCCACAGATGCAGGTGAAACGTCAGCAGAGAATGCCTCTAGAACATGGCCATATAGCCCGAAAAAACCTACAACAACCAAAAACACAAGAATGTTAAATATAATTTGGCACTTATGACATATGTATTTCTATCTGTATATACCAAGTGCAAACAAGAAATATTTTTAATTTCAAACATGTATCAAATAGCAAAATAAACAATAGCTTTGAATCTTTATTTCCTTCAGAATCACAATGTGGTTGATACTTATTATTATTAGTAGTAGTAGTAGTACTAACTAGAGTGATCTAGACACCTTCTGCACTGCCATATAATCCAGATTATCAAAGCAGATAAGCAGGTTATCTGCTTCGAACTGGATTATACAAGTCTGCACTTCTATATAATCCAGTTCAAAGTAGATAATCTGGATTCTATATAACAGTGTTGAAGGGGCCATAGAGGCTACGGAATAATACAGTTTGAACACACATCTCACAGACCAAAGTCCATCACATAATTTACTCATTTAAAGACACAAGCCTAATTCCAAGTGATTCATACATATATACAATCTGTCTTGAATATAACTATTCACTTTGACTAAATGAATTAAT